GCAAGTGAAAAATCCAACATAAATGGATAATGATAGGAACTGATACATATCCTGAAGCCTTCCATAGATGATGGCCAGTTGTCCTACATTTAAATAATACATTTAACAAATTCCTATTTATAGACCAATGAATTTATGTCATTTTTTACTGTTTGTAAAAAAAATGAATTTTATCATTTTCTTGATGTATATAAACTATTAGAAGTATGATCCATATGTACTGCTATTCATCATATATGCCCTTGTTTGTGTTAACACGTCTAACAGATAACCAACGAGACATCTAGAAAAGGAGCATGTATCTGCAGTAATTCTGTAAATAACTTTAAAAATACATGACATTGGACCAGTGAAACAACAACCAAGTATGTCAATAAAAGCACCAGCTGCAGAATAAAAAGATTGTAACAATACATAACCATCAGACAAAATGAATTATCATATTGAACACTAAAACTGTAGGCTTTTACAAAGTATGTAAGACAGGATAACACTAAAATAAGACCACAAGTTTTAGTCAAGTATCGGACTTCTCTTTAAAATGGCTCACCAAAATGTAGAAGGGACAGGAGATGTCATCAAATGGTATCCCAAGAAATTAGGATCAGATTACCAGGATCACATATCATGAAATGCATCATAAATAATTAACTATGCAAATTCAACACAAATGGTATCTACTTAGTACAGATTTTCCAAAACACATTGATTGTGGAGATCATTTAAATACTCAAAAGTTTGTGTATATGCATGACAAACATAACTTTACCCATTTGTAAAATACCCCACTCACCTCCTGCCTTGTGCTTGGATGCAGTGATGGACCCACAGGTCAGTCCTACATGGACCTCATTGCTGCATTCAATTCTCCAATCAGAAGGAAGGTAGTTGGGATTGGCAGGTAGGTACGAAAAAAAGGGTGTTCCCAGAATCTATATTTTAAAATAAAAGATCTCAGAACTGGTGGCATTGTCATATAAAATTCAGACACTGGCTAACTTCGGCCTAGGATTTCTAAGCAACAGGCCAATAGAAGGCAGCATTTATGTGAATCATAGAATGAAGGGATCTTTTTTATTTCAATAGTCCTTCATATCGTGGGAGGAATTTTATCATAGGAGAAATGCATAATAAATAAGCCATGAAGACCACCAAATTAAAATAAAGAAAGCAAATCACATAAAATTGGTACAACCAAATCCCATCGTACTTCTACAGTTCCTACATCTCACAGAAAATAATTAGCTACCAGACCAGAGATCCACCTACTTTTTCTGAAACACAAGATCTTTTTTCTCTCAATTGGTGATAAAATCTGAGAAATTTAGCAGCCATAAGACAATAAAAAACTAATCAGAGGAAATCACAAGAAAAAAGGTTCAAGAATTCGTATGTTAGTTACAAACAGTCAATAATGGAAAAAGTTAAACGACAGATCTAAGGAATCACTTGTCTGTTCCCATCCAATGATCAAATATTGCTCTCCTTACCGCATTCAGCAAATCAGATCTAAACAAAATGCAATGAGACGGACAAGAACAATAACTGGAAGAAGAAGAAGAAGTGGGAAAACATGAAGTGCTTACCGGCCTTCATGGAGGCGTCAGCCTGTGCGACGTTCCTCGCCATAGCGACAAGCAGTGCGATCCCGTGCTCGGCAGCGGCGACCGTGTTCGCAGCGGGCGCGTTGACGACGAGGCACCCGCTCTCGGTGGCAGCCTGGAGGTCCACATTGTCGATCCCCACCCCGGCCCTGCCCACCACTTTGAGCCGCCCCTTGGAGGCCTCAAACACCTCCGGCGTCACCTTGGTCCCGCTCCGCACGATCAGCGCATCGCAGAGCGAGATCTTAGCGCAAAGCTCCTCGAGCGAGAGGTTGTACGAGCAGTCCACGTTGGCGAACTTCCGAAGCAGAGCCAGCCCGGCCTCCCCGAGCTTCTCGGCCACCAGAACTGTCGGCTGTGCCGCCGCCTCAATCCGAAGTCCCCGTCCAGCGCTCCGCAGGGTCCAGTGGTTGGTGGGGTAGGAGAGGCGGAGGCCGAGGAAAGGTGAACGAGAGCGAGCAAAACGGAAGGAGGAAGAGGAGAAGGAGTAGAGGGCAGGGGTGGTGGCGGAGGGCCGGAGGAAGGCTTCAGGGGCGGCGGCGGAGGGCAGGGGAGCGAGAAGAGCTCCGGCCATCGGCTTCTTCTATGGCTACTTGAAAGGATGGGTTAAAAGCCGTAGGGTTTAAATAGTGGCACGGATATAGATAGGACAGTTTTGCATATAAGCGCTTCTACAATGTAAAATTGCACCAAAAATGCATCAACACATTTACAAATATAGGTTCGTAGTATTTAACATATCAATGACAGCCCCATTCGAGCAGTGCTGATGGAGTACTTTGTAATTAGTTAATATCAGAGGAAAACTACGCGATTAGGCACTACAGAAGCGTGTTTCTTTGATTTCTCATTTGAAAAGGTCTGTTATGCAAAAAACACCGGGCTCCCGTGACCGCCCGACCGCGCCCGCTCGAGCCGTAGTATTTGTAGTACATGGGATCCACGCACCGACGGTGATCACCTTCGGACAACTTCTGAGCTTAAACAATACCGGATCCCCTGTCCCAGACAATTCACCAAACAGGTGAAAAGGAGTAGCCATTGGTTCAAATGATGTGGGTCCTACATGAACTTAGTTCTTTAACCAATGACATGATGCCATCCTATCTCAGAAAGTTTCTCACCTTTTTCCGATCCGAATAGGATATGTAGTTTTTATAGGTGGTGTTGAGATGATCTCTTCCTTTGTTTATCGTGGAGGAGAGGGTCGAGTTTCTCGACCTCCATACCTTAAGAAACGGAGGAGGTGTTCGTGTTTCTCGACATGGCAATAGTCCACCGTCGACCTACCTCCTTCTATTGTTGAGAGACCCACCTCAAGCGGGGATTCTTTAACTAATAACATGATGTCATCCTATCTCAGAAAGTTTCTCGCTTTTTCCCCATCCGAATAGGATATGTAGTTTTTATAGGTGAATAGAGACTTTGTATATGTATCAAAATACTCTCACATAAATTAGTTTATATTATACATTAATCATTTTTTTTCGAGTATTTTGGTATAGACTTTTTGTGTGTTTTATATAAGTGATAAAAATATTATAAAATACTGTAATTATCATAAAAATCAAGTTTTTACATGTTCTTATTATCAAATCAATAAAAATACTTTTTAGAAATCTCACAATGGATGAGTTTTAAATCTTAGTTATAATATTTTTATAGGATTATAGGATTTTTATGGATATGCTAAAAATATTGTAACTCTATGATCGTAAGGGTGGATCTCTCCTCGGGCATAATTGATACATTCAGATTCAAATAATAAAATAATCAAACAAATAAAGATCTAAATGATTAATTATATTATATGTTAAACTAGTTAGTAACCATGGTTAATACTTATTACATTAAATTTATTGAAGATGAGGTTGGCATTTGTATATATTGTTTCAAAGATAGACATGTAAAACTAAAAAGGAAATTATACACTGTTGATACTTACATACTCATGTCTATGTCTATTATTTTCTTTCTTTTTTCTTCTTTTCGACCACTTTTTTTTCTTTTAACAAAGTACTTGATACTTGGCCAGGATGCATGGTTAGGCATAAGCCAATCCTTCAATGATGCCATTAAAATTATGTTAAAGCATCCGAATTATTGAGCTTTGTTCTCTCTCTCTCTCTCTCTCTCTCTTTCTCTCTCTTGTATTCTGGTAAATGTATTATTTTACTTTGTATGTTAAAACCATATTGTTCAGTGATATGATATAAAAATAATATATATATAAAATAAAAATAGTTCTATAAAATGTGGAGGAATAAGATGTCCTTGCATAGCTTCCAACCATCATATGTTTATTTACTTTTTTATTTTTCCTTAATTTTTTCCCTATTTTTTTGACTTAGGGTATAAAATGACTGTTACATATATTATATATATATCATGATAAAACTTAGATTATTAATCAAAATACTTAAACTAAAATTAATAGTAATACACTCATCGGACTTAACATAGCTCATATAAAACCATAATACGATGATGTGAGACATAATCGATGCGACGAATAAATATTATATCATGATTCGGGTTTGATGGCTTAATTAGTCTATCAATTTTGTTTTATCTAAATCATGAATCAAAAAGTTAAAATCTTTAAATTAAAATTAATAATAGTATGTACACTCATTAAATCATTATAAATTAATTTTAATATTATCCTCTTCACTAATGGAGAGTGTTACAATGTATACGTGGGGAACTATAGAATAATATTTTTATTGATTTTTTTGAATATGGTTGATCTCTTATTTATAATTAAACTTTAGTAATACAACAAAAATAATTATTTTTTAAGTGAGAAATAACATGCAAACTTTATGACTTTGATGATAGATGTAATAACTTCACATACAATGGGTCATAATAGCCAAACAAAAGCCAAGTGAAGTAGGTTGGATGAACACACAGTTTTGCTGAGAACAATTTAGTAATTTTGGATATCGTATAATTTTTCTGATTGAATGGTAAGTATAATTTAATTATATTATTTCACTTAAAATATAAAATCATAATTGATTTATAATCATTGATTTAAGAAGATGTAGAGTATTTATTCTATAAATACCTTATAACTTTTTTTAATTATTCTTTATATTTCTTTGGTCGAATTAATAATCTAATTGGAAATATTTAGTGTTGAATATATTCTTTGATCTTATGCTTCTATTGATTCTTTCTATAATTAGCCTTCTTAGTCTGATAAATAAATACTAATTAATTAAGGCTTCCGGGTCAGTCAGTGCGGTGGGGCCCAGACCAGATGGGCCAATCAGCTCAGGCTAACGTTTTGGGCTTGTTGTATGCAGGGATAGCACGGAAGGACCACTATGTATACGTACGTATGTGTCTACGTACGTATCTTCAGGGAGAATCGACGGCTCTTCTGGTTTCCCTAACAGCAACCAATCACCAGTAGCCATCCCCGCCTTCCGCCCTCCCTAAACCCTCCTCCCCAATCCCACCACTCTGCTATCCCTAGCGCGCCGCTGATCCCTCCGGCCGTTCTGCCGCCCGCTCTCCCTCAGCTTCTTACCGCAACCGCTGCCGCGGCTGCTGCCCCACTGGCACCTCTCGTTTGTTCCGGTAACATGTTATAAAGACCTTCCCTTTTGCACTATCTGTAGATTGATAGGAGGCACAACCGTTTGAACAAACGGGTTATCTGCAGTACGCAGTGATCTGCTCCACTGTCGTCGCTTTCTGTCGCATCGTTTATGTGATTCTGCGCTCATGCCGCTGCCAAACCCCCTCGTTGCCCCCATAAACTTGTTCGGTGGAACGAATCACCAATAAGTTCATTGCTTTTTGAGTGATCTGTGAATGTATGTTCTTTGTTGTCCTCGGAGGTTTCTAGGGTTCCTGATTCTGCCTTGTTATTGATTGCTTCTTCAGGTGCAATGGCTTCCTCCACTCTGTCGGCTCCCGTCATGCAGAAAGGCATCCATGGTTGGAATCCATGTGCAAGGATTTCGAGCAATGCTCGCGTGAATTCCCATCGAACACTTAATTGCCCTCTTTCGATGAGCACCGTCAGAAAACCACTCTTTTTCCGAGCACATCCTGCTTCCATTAATCCACCACATGTCAGCGCCAGTCAGCGCTATTCGCTCGATACCAAAAAGTTTCCTGTTTCATGTGCCGGCAAGTTTCAACTCGATGATGTCATTGAATCTCAACAATTTGATACGGATATTCTGAATGGAATATTTGAGGTAGCCTTTGAGATGGAAAAAATTGAGAAGAATTCACCGGGGAGCAATATACTGAAAGGATATCTCATGGCTACTCTATTTTACGAACCATCGACTCGGACTAGACTTTCGTTTGAGTCTGCCATGAAAAGATTAGGTGGAGAAGTTTTGACTACGGAAAATGCACGAGAATTTTCTTCCGCCGCAAAAGGAGAAACTCTTGAAGGTATGGTTTTACTCTAGCTGATAGTTTTGTTTTATTATGACTTGTGTAAGCAAGAGTTATGAGCCGCAAGCATGATTACAGATACTATAAGGACAGTTGAAGGTTACTCAGATATAATTATTCTGAGACACTTTGAAGGTGGAGCTGCTAAGCGGGCAGCTTCTACAGCCACTATTCCTGTAATAAATGCTGGGGATGGTCCAGGTCAGCATCCAACACAGGTATGGAAGAGGATTTTTGTTTTGTTTCCTGTTTGTAATGATGCTAGAATATAAATTGGAAGCTATTACAATGCATTTGCTCTCAAACAAAGGAGAATTTATTGTTGGCAGCCTTGTAATTTATTGTTGAGAAGTTTGTTTTGCTTTACCATCTGAACAAAGGAGAATAAAAGATCTCATACCTTAATGACTCTGAGTCCAAACTTGTTTGGTCTCAGGAAGTTTTTGTCAAATTAGGATCACTATTATAATCAAAAGTTCATTACCTTGACAGAAAACATTTCGTTAAGGCTGTGATGAATTCTTGAAAGTGCTGCAGGGGCATAAAAGCAAATAAGATTATGATTTTAATTATGACCTCTTATCTTACATTTTTTGTATTACATATCTGGTCCACGACATATAATAGTCCTGCAGATTTTATTGAAGATGCTCGTAAAAATGACCTTATTTTGTAGTCACCATGGCGTTCATATCGATGTGATATGATGCACTCATTTTGTTTAAGAGCATACAGTCTAAATTTTTATCTTCCTTTTGCATTTTTAACTTCTGTGGTTGACTTTCTATAGTTTTTTACCCTATTTCTATTGGATGTACAATTCTAAGATTAAGCTTGACCCTTTTGTGTTTTCCTTTTTGGGTCTGATATAGTTTGTGCTGACAAACACTCAATTTAGGTACAGACAGACTTGTAACCATATGCAAAATTTCCATGCAGTTTGATGGAGTATCTCTCATATCAAACCACCTTAAGTTATTCTTTAATGATAGTACTTTAGAATTTTCTATAGTCTGTTTGCCATTCCTAGCTTTCAGCTTGTGATTTAGATTCCCTTTGTAATTCCAATCTTGTTTTTTTCTTCCCTTCCTATTGACCTGGGGTGGATGATATAGGAGTCAGGTGAATTGATCTGATCAGAAGCTAGAGTTATGATTTTGTATGTACTCTTAAGAGATGTTTGAGCTTAAAGGGAATAGTTTCTTTTATTTCAAGTTCTAATTAGTCAATAGGACATTCTGTGCCAAGAGACATGCCATTTTGATGTTTCACCGGACTATTTATACACTATAATTTTCAGGAAGTTAATGGATGTCCAGAAGGGTCAGCATGCAGCCAGATGGCTTACTCTCATGGTGGCACCCTGTCCAAGCCCGATGTTTCTGGCAATCTGGGTCTATATTGATACATATTATCCAGTTTATTTATTTCAAGTGGTGCTCAATTAAATGAAGTTAATTTACCTAGACCTACTTTTCAAGCTCCTCTTCATAGATAAATATGCTAGAATTGGTCGCTTGTGGTTGAACCTTTTAGTTCTAGTACTCCCTGGTCCGATTGATATTTTGCCCATAGGTTTTCATAGATAAATATGTTGGTTATGCAGTTATGTCAAAAGAGTTGTACAGTTTTCAAATGGAACCTGTACTTTCAGAATAAAAAATATACCATGCAACTTTTATCTGTCTGGGCACAAGGAAATGGAACGAAATCAGATATTAAATACAAATCTTCTCATAAATTGTGGGTATGAAAAACTGGTACTCCTTTCTGTTAAAGGTCACTGCTGTTCTGACATTTCCTTTTAGAAGCATCCATTTAATCTGTTCAGAACTTTCTTTGTAAAATCTTTAAGGCAATGTAGAGCTTGATTCATAATGCACTCTTGATGAGAAGATCGTGCATGCATCTAGTGTGTGTTTCAAATTATTGGTTTTTTAATAATCGAAGAATAAAATTTTGTTTTAAAATAACATTTAATTTTGCGATAACCATTTGATGATGTGACTGGTACACAAAATTCTCAATTTCATATATTTGCTCTTTCATGATTTTTTTTTATATCATGCCTCAATATATTTGACGTCATTCTAATTAGTTAGTTATACACAATCTTGTAGCATACGTTTGTTATTTCTTTTATTTGTGTAATATGTGGGTTGTCTTGCACAATACTGTGTTTTACTAGTTGATCAAAAAACAAGGATGTGAATTTTTTTGGGCATTTGGGTTCCTCTGTGGCCAATTTTGGATTGGAAGGCTGATGTTTTAGATAGTCTGGATGAAGAAGATTTTAACTCTATGGTCAATAGGTCCCTATAATATGATTAGGAAATTTGTTTTTGCAGGCTTTATTGGATGTGTACACCATCAAAAGAGAAATAGGTAGACTAGATGGAATATCACTTGGTTTGGTCGGCGATCTTGCGAATGGAAGGACCGTTAGATCACTGGCATATTTGATAGCCAAGTATAAAAAAGTAAAGATCTACTTTGTTGCACCAGATGTTGTGAAGATGAAGGTATGATTCTCCTTATTGCCATTGCTTTTGTTTCTAAATGCTAAATAAATGTTTACAGGCACCATCGATTTTGCTCCCTCAGATAAATATACTTTGCTGTCATAATTTAGATTTATGATGTTTCAATGTAGGATGATATCAAAGACTACTTGACATCCATGGGTGTTGAATGGGAAGAAAGCTCAGATCTACTGGAAGTTGCTTCAAAGTGCGATGTTGTTTATCAAACTCGCATTCAGAAAGAAAGATTTGGTGAGAGGATAGACCTTTATGAAGCAGCTCGTGGTAAGTACATAGTGGACAAAAAGGTGTTAGATGTGCTTCCAAAGCATGCCGTTATCATGCATCCTCTCCCAAGACTCGATGAGGTACGTGAATTCATCCGAATCTATTTGTCAGTAGAATGAAAGAAGAATAGTCTTGACAACAAACATCAACTTACAAAGCTCACTCAACCTTTTGCTCTAAATGGAATTTTGATCAAAATCGTTCTTGATATGCACTGAAACTAAACTTATTAGTTTCTTTGTGACATTTTCTTTTTCTAAATGTTGCAACCGATCTTTATGTTTCATTCTGTACAAATTTCGCTAGCAAAATGACTCAAACTTGATTTCTCTCCGAAGGATTGTGATTCATGAAGTTAAATTCCTCTGCAGATAACTGTGGATGTTGATGGTGATCCTAGAGCTGCATATTTCAGACAAGCCAAGAATGGCCTCTACATTCGAATGGCTCTATTGAAGCTGCTGCTGCTTGGCTGGTGAATGTTGAGAAACACTTTTCCAAGGGAATTTGATGGAGTATTTTGACGTCTAATAATTGGTTGGTTGTTCTACTTACGAAAACATGTAACATGTTTCCACCCTACTTGTGCAACCATATATTTTAGAAGCCATAATGTCCTAATTATTTGGTGAATGTTACCACCATAATCGACAAAAACCCATAATTTGGATTCTTTTGTCATTAACAGTTCTTGTTAAATCAAGAGTTTTTAAAATTATTTTTAGTAAAATTTTCTTAGATCTTCTTTTTGCCTTTCTTTGTATTTTCTGTATTGCTTGATTAAGTCTGACTAAAACATCAATCATGTAAGTTATGGTCTTCCCATCTTACTGGCTGTTTGTGTTCATTGCTGATGGCAGAATAGTAAATAACAGTATTTCATAAAATGCTGTTTGTGTTCATTGTTGATGGCAGAATAGTAAATAACAGTATTTCATAAAAAAGATTACTAACTAATGTTATATAAATGAACGCCTAAATGCTAAATTTAAAGGTAAATATGAGGGAGGGTTATTTAAAGGTACCTCAATCCGAGTAGGAGCTCGCTTCAACCAATGAGAAGTCAGATCGGGTAATCAGACGGTCAGAAATACAAACAGATGCTTCCCACGGATCGCTTCCGCATCCGACGGTCAGCTTGAGCGCGAGCAGTCCATAAAAGAACCTTCGACCACGAGTCACCCATCCACAGCCGAGAGGGAGAAAGAGATGTCGGGACGCGGGAAGGGAGGGAAGGGTTTGGGGAAGGGCGGGGCGAAGCGGCATCGGAAGGTGCTGCGGGACAACATTCAGGGGATCACGAAGCCGGCGATCCGGCGACTGGCCCGGCGGGGTGGGGTGAAGCGCATCTCGGGGCTCATCTACGAGGAGACCCGCGGCGTGCTCAAGATCTTCCTGGAGAACGTCATCCGCGACGCCGTCACCTACACGGAGCACGCCCGCCGCAAGACCGTCACCGCCATGGACGTCGTCTACGCCCTCAAGCGCCAGGGCCGCACCCTTTACGGCTTCGGCGGATAGGCGCCGGCCCTCCTCGCTCTGCCTAGTGGAAGAAAGAGATAGCGCGTTGGATTAGGGCTTGATTTCCTCTTCTTCCTCATTTCTGCTTTGGTTTGATGGAGATGTCGAAGGAAATGCTCCGCGCTTGTGGGTGATTGTAAACTTGTAGTCTCTCGTAGAATTGTCGATCACAGCTGTTGGTTTTCATCTCTTCTGCTTTATCTCCCCTTATTGAAACCTCGAAAGCGAACGAAATCGCTCGATTTGATTTTGATGTCGAGAAGGATCGAGAGACGGATTAAACTAAGATGCTGTATGTGTGCTTTAAATTGGCTCAACTTTGCAACTTACACCCTATCATTTAATAATCGTAAGTAGGTTAGTGGACTAAAATATATTGAACTATTTAATAATTATAAAAATAAGTTGTATTAAAATTTTAAGGTAAAATGGAATTAAAAGGGTAAAATATCATAAAATCAAATATTTATTTTTTTAAAAAGATATTGAATATAATGTGACTTTCTTTTCAAATGTTAAAAAAAAAATTGTTAATGATTCATAATATTAATAGTTTATTATGATCTTGAATTATATTAGATGAATGTAAAAATAATATTTTTGGAGATATAAATGAGAAGATTTATCTAAAAGATTTACAGAGAAAAGAAAAGAAGATAGGTTGAGCTTGGAAACTTCAAAAAAATTTTATGACATTTAAGTAAACTTATAAATAATAATATATACAATTTTATAATATTATTATTTAATATAAATGATAGTAACTTTATTATATTAAAATTAATATATTTCTTATCAATATTTTAAAAATAGTGGATATGAATAAGATAACTTATATTATTAGCATTGAGATATTTAGAAATATATCTCAATGATTATTAAGACAGTTTTATAAAAATTATATTGATCAAGTTTTAGATAGAATTAGTATATAATTTTATTTTACTAATAATATACTATTACTAAAGGTGAAAATTTTAATCAAAACCAACTTAAGAATAATTTAGAAAGGAATCAAATGAATTATACTTATACTTGTTATGCATGTATAGTTAAAAGCTTTTTATGCATTTATATTGCATACTTCCTTAAGTGACATTAAACTCCTTTCTCTTTATTTTATTATTAGCTCTTAAATAGTGTCATTGTCTTTTCCTTGATAGTTTAGAAGACCTCATTATTGTTGTGAAGAATATGATTTTCTCTTATTTTAAATTAAAGAATCTTTATCAAATTTACTATTGGGCATAATATTTATTAGGATCAATTATAAATATAAGTAAAATCCATAACACATTTTGCATATGTTTATTATACTAAAGTTGTAAGCATGCATTTTGTTAATATAATCTTAACCTATTATAAAATAATATAAGTATATAATAAATATATGGAGGTTGAAGTGAAGTCTGTGCATGTATTCCCTCCAAACAAAGGACGCATACTAATTTCTATGCGTATGTCCCGCACCCAAGGCATCATATCTATGCGGCGACTTTTCTCTTCCCCTTCTCTCACTACATCTGAGATTGGAGAGAGCCGTCCCCCTTCCCCGTCCTTCCGCCTCCGATCCCGATCCCGATCCCTCCCCCAAGAAATTTGCAATCCCTAAAGAGATCTGAAACCCTAATCAATCCAAGAAGGGTTTGCTTGTCCGATCGATCGCCATGGCGTGCCTCGCGCTCTCCTTGCAGCCGGCCAATGGCCCCGACATCCTCCTCCAGACTCGCGAGTGGTTCCCTCCCGCCCGCGCCCTCGCCGCCCTCTCCGCCTTCCGCCACACCCGCCTCTCCCTCTCCCCCGCCGCCGCCGGCCCCGCCCGCGGCCTCCCCTCTTCTTCCTCCGCCGTCCCCGCCTCGTCCCCTTCCCCTTCCTCCGACGATCTTGATTCCTCCCTCGGAGACGATCCCCTTGCTGCCTCCGGTGGCCAGCTCGTCGTCGGCGTCGAGAGCAAGTATCGCGTTGTCTATCGACTAGTCAACTCGGTTTATGTCCTCGGCGTCACCACCGCCGACCACCACTCCAACCTTTTCGAGTGCATTAACACCGTCAACCAGGCCGTCTCTGTCGTCGTCGCCGCCTGCCGTGGCGTCGACGTCACCCCGGAGAAGCTCCACCGGAAGTACCCTGAGGTGTACATGGCCCTTGATATCGTCCTCCGCGGCGTCGGCAGCGTCCGCCTCGCCTACATCCTCTCTTCCATCCACGGCGACAACATCGCCAAGATGGTGCACACCGCCATTGACGCGGAGAACCGCGTCCGCGGCGCCGACTCCTGGGCCGGTGGCGCCGAGGCCCTCGCTACCGAGCGCCGCGCCAACCTCGAGGCCTTCTCCTCCGCCTTTTTCGAGCTCCCCACCGAGACCCTCGCCGCCGGGGACGAGGTCGCCGTCTCCATCGCCCCCGCCACCACCTCCCTCACCGAGGACCAGCAGCAGAAGGACCAGACCGAGGAGGCCGCCCCGGAGGAAAAGGATCCCTTCGCCGCCAGCGAGCGCATCAACAAGCCCGACGAAGCCCTCGTCGGAGGGTTCAAGAAGAGCAAAGATCAGACCGCCAGCACGGCGGATCCGACGCTGGCCCTTGCCGGGCTCGAGGTCACGACTCTCCCTCCGGCCGAAGCCACGAAGCCCACTTTCATCGGGGTGGAAGGGTTCGAAGGGGACTACGGTGGAATCGAGTTTGGCAACGAGGAGGCGTCCCTCTCGGAAGCATTTGAAGGCATTGAAGGGAACACTCCATTCGGAGGTGGGCTCGATGCATCGGAATTCATAACGACCACGAAGAAGACTACCCAGGCCCAGGGTCTTACCGGTCTCGAGCTCCTTGCCACTGGCCCGAGCCCTGCGGCTGCTACTGCCGCTGCGGCAGCGGGAGCTGGCACACCTCTGGAGAATCTCCTGGTAACAAAGACAAAGGAGATGACGGGTCCTGAGATGTTCATTTCGGAGGAGATCAATGCTGAGTTCAGGGAGTCTCTTCTTGCTCGTGTGGGCTTGAAAGGCACCATCTTCTTGAGAACGCTGCCACCGAAGAAGGCTGCTGGGAAAGAGACGGAGTTCTCCTTTCGACTGGAAGGCACCTCAAGCATTAAGAGGGCGGTACTGCAAAGTTCTCGTGTTAGCAGCCTTCAGAACGGACTGTTTCACGTTAGGACTCCATCTATGGAAGATCCCATACCACTCATTCTTTATAGCTTGCAGCCTCGTTTGACTCCACTGCCACTGAGGCTTCGACTCGTGAAGCGCCACACCGGGAAGCTTCTCAGAGCAATGATACAGTATGTCTCCAACCCGTCATTGCCCATGCCATTGACCAATGTGACCTTTATTCTGAAGCTTCCAGTTGAGCCAACTTTGCTTGAGGTTTCACCAAAGGCGATTCGTGGAGAGAAGGAGATTAGGTGGCATATCTCTGATGTTCCTCTCAAGGGTCCTCCAGGTCGGCTGAGGGCAAAAATGCCAGTTGATCAGGATTCTGCAGACGGTGAACTTGATGTCAATGGGATGGTGAATTTCTCTTCTCAAGGGTCTATGACGCTGTCTGGTGTATGTCTTAGGCCAGTTTCGGATGGCATTGCACACTTCAATGAGGTTAGCCATATTTATGCTAGTGGGACTTATTTGTGCACATGACCAGCAACCATGGTTCACATTGTGAAGGCTTGCGGTCAGTTCTTTCACAATGATTTATCAAGTTGCTAGAGAGTGACAAAATTTCATGTGTAATAAATTTGGCTTTGGTATAGCTGGTTCAACTACTTCTGTGTTCTTCGGCATGTATTCTTTTGGCTTTCTGGATGTTATTTGAGTTGAAATGAGGTAGTGCTTTATGTAATAGCTTAAATATTGAACAGTGTATGGGTGTCATTGTGTTTGATTGTTCTTTTAAAATTTTCTCTGTCCTGACTTTGATACTTTAAACATGAATTGCGTGAAACTAGTGGGGGTTACTGAACTGCATTGGTGATAGTTGTCTTTCTTTATCTGCATGTTATGTTCATGGTCTTATATCTAAGTGCACATGATCTATCAAATTTGAAGGATACAATGATACTGTTTTTTACTATTGTTCACCTCATCATCAACTTTATGTATGATGAAATTTCCTGCTGCCTGGTGGTTTTATCTTCTGGCATATGTTCTCTGAATATAAGTTTGTATTATTTTCATTAACATACTGTTTTCAATTAGAAGTAGTTTCTGTCTTGTTTGGGTTAGATCAATTGGGAAATTGGATGAAGTTTCTCCAATCCTAGTCATGAAACATGAAAAAATTGAAGATTCTGATGTCTGTGAAAAAGTTGAAGATTCATGTTAGGTACGCCTGGGACTAAGTTTGTAACCAAAATCCAAATCAGTTTTTGTATGTATTGAAGTTGGGCCTAGACAGAATCTGTTCTTGATGCTGAATTTGTTTCAGACAATTTCTTTTTGCTGGAATCAAGTATTTGAAAGGTTATTTTAAATTGCACTATTCTGTAATTGGGTGGATTGCTTGTTTCATGGCATGCAAGTAACAGTTCTCATTCCAATCTGAAGTTAAATATTTCTCTGTTCTCCTTGGCTAGTTTTACTTGTTTCCCTAAGGTCGTCTGATGATATTCTGTTCTCGATCATTTATAAAAAGGTCAGTATTATTTTTTACTAATACAAATGAATCATCTAGATGGCCATATGCAAGTAGGGTTCATGTATTTGTCATTTTCTCGTGGCATGAATTCCTCGACATTCTGACCACATATATGTCATTGAAAATTTAATCACAGCAACGGAACGAAAACTTTGCAGATAGAACAATGATTACTGTGTTTGCCCTCAACTTTCTCTGTAAATCTGTCAAATCTTTTATCAGTTAATACAAAAATATTTTTCGGTTCTTTGGTTCTTACGTTTTTCTTGATGTGGTATATTTGTTAGCATGCCTAAATGCTGTTATGCAGTCCATTCATGTATAGTCCAACGATTTTTATGTAGAAACAGAAATTTATGCAGTCCTGGTTGAGTCAAGCATGAGCTGAATCAGTTATGTATTTCCTTTTGGTACTTCCTAATGAATTTTCATGGTTAGATAGAGCATCTGTTTAAGGGCCTTTGTAGGTATTCTTTCGAAACTGTAACATTGCTACAGTTCTTATTCTACAAATAGTTTTGTCAGGGAGAACAGTTGAATCATTAGAAATCAAGTTTTCCGAGTTCTAAATGTTGCTTTTGATTGGATTTTACGATGTTACTAATTTTGGAAGTTGTGCCATAAGCTTTGCCCTAGATTGAGTAGTATTTGACTCTAGATTGAGTAGTTGAGGACTTTGGTTGCATTAAAATCCATGGTTTAACTTTACAAGCTAAGATAATTTGGAGAAGGCATGTGACAGCATGCCATATGAGCAAAGCTGGATCAGAGGGTATGGTCAAGGTTACAGTATTTCTCACCAGAGTTGAGTGAAGCACAAAAGACTGTCAAAACGCAAGAGGGACGGCGCCACAGTGCCATGATCATGTTATCTTGGATGACTGGACAGAGGGAAGGGGGTGAGTGAGTATCGGTAAGAAAAGATAAAAAACCTTTTTCATTCAGAGTGAGAAATAGGAGAAGATGAAGAAATGGAACTCCAGTGTCTCCAAAATATGGGACTAGTTTTTGGGTAAACAATGTTTAAGCTCAAACAAATGCACAGAATTAAATATTTCCAAGCAAGAAAGGATTTATTGAACCATTTTATATGATGAACATAATTTCTTGTATTGTTGAAACAGCTTTATTTGTTATCTTTTCTACTCTCATTTCTTTGTAATCCATGTATCATATTTTGTTACTTCTTTGAATCCTCTATTATTTTCCCCTATTAATTACTTTCTGAGCCCTTCTCAACTTAGACTTATTTTCATGGTAATTAAGCCAATGGCACAACAATTTTTTTTTGCACACATATATTTCTTTTTTATCTATGTCAAAAATAAAAATTGATAAAAGTAAAACACAAATGTTCCTTTGCTGGGTTAGACCAGTTAGATATCTAACTATCTATTTGATCATTTCTGACTTGTATTTACAACTATTGGTTTTAACATAGTTGTTTTCTACCAAATTGGTACTGGAACCTGTGGTTTCCATTATTATGACTGATGTGAACCTTGTTCATATGTTGGATATGCATCAAAACTTCCCAACCTATCCTTCTCAATTATGGCACAACCTCTGTTCCACTTTTTTTTTTTTACTCCAGAAAACAAGAAAAGTTCATAGATTTGTTTGCATTGGACAGCCTTATTGGTAAAATACTTTTCATACTATATTGGATTCAATTGTATTAGGTAATTATAAATTGTTGATGGAAGCGATAATAGCAAATGTAACAAGGATAGAAGTTGACAAGGTGAACCAGATTAGGGATTCCAAATTTATGTGAAAGAAACTTTGTCTTAAAAGGAGACCGAAAAGGCAGATCACAAGATTGGACCTTTGCTGGTTGATAATTTACTTGATGTACAGCTAGAACATATGCATCTGATCGCCTAATTTAAGTTTTTGTGATAGGCTGGTGATCTTTTCTATAGGGCATAAACAGAACGTGAAAGAGAGCATTATGATTAAATGGAACCCATCATCAGATCATGATGGTCCAAGTGTTAGTTATGGAATTAGATTCATTAAGATCCCAAGGGTTCATTGACGTACCAGAAGCAAAGTCACAAATGTCTATATTTAAGGAAAGTTCATGTGAAGCAAAGTCTAACTGTGTGCATTTCTTTGGTATTTTTCGATCATATCTCATAATATATATTTAGTGTTTAGAGCCCTTTCTATAGTCATATCTATTATTTTAAGTCAGATTTTAGGTGGGCTAATTACATATTACCCCCTTGTAGTTAGATCTCTTTAATATTCTAGTCCCTAGGCTTAAAAATTTATATTAGAATCCCTATAATTATAAAAGTGAAACATCTAGCCCCATTTACCATAAAGTTAGTGGTTTTACCGACGGAAGCACAAAAACGATAAACAAAAATGTAATTTTAACATCCCAGTTACGTTTTCGATGGTGGTGGATGACGATGTCGTTGGGGGTCGCGGGTGGCTATTGTGGATGAGGAGGAAGAGTAATGGCGAGAGGTAAAGCGACAACGTAGATGTCGACACTTTGCATCTATGTCGGCGTTGCTCGGCAATTGTGTCGGTGCCGACGCAGATGCAGAGCGGCTAAAGGGCCAGTTGGCATCTGCATCGGTATTGATGCGGAGCGTCGACATCTGCATCGTCGCCTCACCTGTCGTCGTCGCTCTCTCTCCTCACCCACAACAGCCACCTGTGATCCCCAGCAGTGTTGTCGTCCGTCAGCACCGAAAACATAATTGGGTCGTTGAAATTATCTTTTTATCCATCGTTCATGCTTTCGTTGATAAAACCGACAACGTTATGGTAAATGGAGCTAGATGGTTCACTTTCATAATTATAAGGATTCTAATGTAAATTTTTTAAGTCTAGGGACCTGGATACTAAAGAGATCTAATTACAAGAGGTAATATGTAATTAGCCCAATTTTAGGCACTTGTTTATGTGAAGTTTGTTTTTACAAATAATCTCATGTGGTAACAAACTTTCTAAAACAAGGACAGTTCAAGAATGTATTTTGTCCTAGGTTGATATGGATTTCGACATTGGTATTTTTGTATAATACATTGTGTGAGGGCCTTCTGGATCGAGCTATATAATTTGTGGATAATTGATAATTTTCTTTGGCTTGCTAGCCTAGCTTTTTCTGCTGTTTCTTTACTCTCCTTCCTGTCTTGATCAAATTTCTGTGGCATGAGAAAAACAAACAAATAATTTTCATCTGATTCCTTTTCTTTTGCCTAAATCACTCGCTCATTCCATTTCTTTTGGAGTTTTTTTAAATCATACCTGCATCATAATATATCTGTTTTCGCATCATTTCTGCTCCTAAATCTTACGAGCAGAAATAAATATTTCCTTTGCTAGTTTATATCAGATCTGACTCTATGCTTATCAGATCAGATCTAAATCCTCTGTTACTGATTTATGACATAAGCTGTGCTCCGCTGCGCCATTGCCTGGATTTGAAAACGTGGTGCTTTAGAGTAGGTTGGCAATCTTCAAGGTGATAATTTGATGCCTCTTTGGTTGGCTGAGCTCTTGAGAAATTGGCAGTTAACCATCCTTTGGATATCTATCTGCTTCAGTTGGGCCGGTATGTATCAACTGGTAAATGGTCTGGCCATGTGCTGATATTAAAATGTACAGCTCTTTTAGATTTTGTATTATATTATTAATGGATTGTTTAAGCTGATATGTTCTCTAATATATGTGTTATACCAGTTTGACACTTAGGGTGGATATATGTTAATTTCCTAGGTTGGTGTATGCCGGATGAAATATATAGCTCTACACTTGTACAGTTTCATTCATTTTGATTTTTTGTTGTTTTGTTTTGTTACCGAATGTTCTAAGTCGATATTTGGTCCCGTATGCCAATACCATACCTGCAGTCATTTACCAAAGCTGGTACTTATACCTGTCTGCATTTAACTGATGAAGAAACAGATGGGAAGACAAACATTAGTTCATGAGCCTTGTTGATGTAGTTGGAATGATCTTGTTGATGATGCTTCATCTTTTGTTTTCTCATATTCTGGTCTGATCTTGGTCCTTGTTAGAAACTAACCTGTTTAAAGTTAAGTCTTTGTAGTTCAGTTGGCTGAAGACAATGGTGTTCAGATTGTTGATTAATGAATGAAATATATATTGTATAGACTCATGGATGCTATTGGTTTCTCAAAGTAATCTGATGATGGTGGATCATAACATGGTTTTCTTCATAGAAGTGATTGCCCAAATTAGCTGTTTTCAAGCATGAAATAATTTTGTGCCCTGTGTGCCAGGATAGGTCACCATTAAAGATTCTTACTCTCCTTATGCATTTGTAGCATCAAATGCATTTTAATTCTGCTTGGAACAAAGCATGTTATCTGAAATAGTTTAATCTTCTGGGACAAAATTTTCATAGAGTTTGCCTTTGGTGCTTACTTATTTGTTGGTAATGTTGGATGATTTTGTATTCCTGTAACTCTAGCAGTTGAGCTCTCAGTCATGCCTTTAATACCAGCCTGCTTTAGTTGTATAGATATATGCGGACGTAAGCCCATGCAAGAAACATGCATGCGTCGCCATGTACGTAAGCTGGACCCCTCCTAACTCATCCAGAGAAACCCTAATATGGCAGCGGCAGCTCCACCACCGACAGCCAGGCCGTCAGCGGCCGAGGATTCACCTGCGGGGCCATCGGCGGCGTCGGACGGAGCTCCAGCCGGTGAGCCATCGGCGGCCATTGTCTCTGCCGGAGATGTCGCAGGAGCTCCTGAAGTCGGTGAGTCCTCTGACGGGGACTTTGCGTTGGAAGCCGGGGACGCTGCAGCCTCCGATGGGGCCAGTGATGGCGCTGCTGACTTCGACGTCGCAGGAGACGCTTTGGGCGCTGCCCCGTCGCTGAGGCCGGGTGGAACGATGACGCTGCTGATCTCGACGACCGAAATGTTGTAGGGCTGCGTCGCCAAGACCGTCACGAAGTTGGCGTCGAGCGACGACCCCGGCACGGCGGAGCCGAACGAGACCTGCCCGTTATCCATGTCGGTCACGTTGAGGAAGCCGCTCCGGCCGGAGGCGACGCCGCTGGACTGGAAGAGGGTGGTGAGGATGGCGCTGCGGTTGCGGAGCTTGTGGAACTTGTCGCCGTCGTAGTAGTCGAGGACGACATGCAGGGAGAGGATCTTCTTGAGGACGTCGGTGGGCTGGCCGGAGGCCGAGGAGATGGCGCCGTTGTTGACGGCAAGGACGGTGATGGTCTTGCGGCTGTTGATGTCGGAGGCTAGCTGAGTTCGAGTGAGGAGGTCGCTGAAGGTGGAGAAGTCGGGGAACTTAGCGAGGATGGTGGTGATGTTGTGGGAAGCTGCCAAGGGGAAGAGAAGGAAGGGGAGGAAGAGGAGGAGGGTGGGTTGTCTAGCCATGGTTTCGAGGTCTTCTATAAGCCGAAGAACACGTTGGAGGAGGATGATAGAAGGGTGATATATATACACAGGTCTGCAAGGTCAACATTTGGGTGGCAGAAAAAGTAGAGAGCGGAAAGCGCTGTGGTTGACCTCTCCAAATCGTCTCTATATAAGCAGCGGTTTGACCTTTTCCTTGGGATAAGACAATCCGTTGACTCACGATTGACCTTTTTTTTCGCCTTTTGCAAATAATACAACCGAAATTTGAACTATAAAATTATTTTTTATTGATATTTACTTTTTTGGTAACTAAATTATTTTTAGTTGGAAGATCACTTAATTCCTCGAACGGGTAGAACTCAAAGCCCACGTACCCACTCGCATTGTCGGTGATAAAGGCTTTTGGGACCCACCGGTGGAGCCATCCTGATCCAATCATAGTACAGGTACGTGTTTGGCTGCAGAGAAATTGACTAACGTACGATTAAGTACGGTGATGTAATTTTACGTAGAAGTCCTTGACATCTGGTTATTTATAAGTAACCCTATCATCAGCCTTTTCCTTGGCATAAGCTACTGTTTATGATATGATGAGGTACTTATCCAAAATTAGTGGCCAAACACAATTGTTGTAATTCATGGGGGATTAATATGGAGTAATAGATTTGTATTAATTTTTTATTGTCAAGCAGTTAAATTTATTTTCTATGGATGTTTTTAATGAGGACTAATATGAGAATATGTTAAATATTGTAGTCTTTTTCTGCAAAATAGATGTACTTACTGCACTGCGTACCTTATGGCTCTCTGTGCTCGCGACGAGCAGAAGGGGGAAAAAGATTCGACTTGGCGGTCGGCAGTAGCTCGACCTTTTGGTTTTCTTCGAGCTCTCCGTGATTCGCCGAGGAGTGCAGGACGATGGACTCGCTTCTTCTCCGGCCCTTTTCCTTCTTTCCTTGCCGTTCCTCACCTGGTTCTCGCCGAGGTACGCGCACAAAATCGACGGAGACCCTCGGAAAGATTGGTTCTTTTGCCTGCAGGAAAGCATGGTCTTGATTCGAGACGGGAATGTCTGGTAGATTCAGAATCCGATGTTAGAATTATTTGGGTCAAAAACAGTGGGCGATCGCTTGTGTTAGCTAGTAGTGTGGGTGGGCCTTTTTTTTGGGTTAGTGCTCACAGGTGCTTGCTGTTCTGTACGACCTAATTTACAGATTTCCAGTGGGTGAGCTCTGACTAATATGTTTCCGATTAGTCTCGCATCCATGAAGAAGAGGCAATGCTTATTCTCCTCACCTTCTCTGTAAAAGGATACTACGAGTAACGCGTTCATACTTGTCTTTGGTGTAGCTTATCGAGGGTTCTAGTGTTATATGATTCTTTTCTTCGTTCTTTGTTATGATTTACCTTTGATTATTTATGAGTCCGTGAGTGGCTTCAAAAAGGACATATTTTCACCCGTTTTTCAATGGCTTCTTCAATAGAGGAACATTGGATGAACAGTTGCTTTGAAAAGAAACCAGGACGCGTTTTCTACCTAAGCTTTAAAGACTACAAATTTGATTTGGATGATGAGATTCTCATTAGGGCGATTTTTGCTGTTTGCACGTCAGAATAAACATGCAGAATAACGTAAGCATCTTGAATCAAGATAACATATTCAGGACATAAGGGGGACATTCCATGAGTAATTCTTGCTAGTGTATATGCTAATTTTTGGTATGATTGCCAATGATCCCTTTCTTTTATCGTATGAAATGAGATGTTCTGCTTTAGTTTGTTCCCGTTTGATGCAGTATTACAGAAATTGTGGCAATGATGTGGTATCTCTCATTTTGTTTGGTTTGGTATGATGCTCTTGTTTGAGGAAGTATTTACCAAGGAGAATATGGCAATGAGATCAGGTTAGACTAGTTAATTCAGTGAAGGAGTTTAGAAAGAGATGTCATTTTCTCAATTTTAATGAGAGATGCATAGTTGGCCTGAGATGACTTGCTCATTGAATGGTGCTAACATTCAGATCTTTAATGACTTCAATCTGAGTTGGAAGTTTCATCCTGAGTCAGAGAACCTTGAATTCTGGGTCATGCTAGTTTCTTAAAAAGTATTAAGAGTATTGGAATATGTTAAGGAATGCATAATTCTTGATCAGGCTACATTCCAAAGCGCATAGATTGATGAATAGTTTAGCTCTATGTGCTTAAGAGCAGTTGGTTTATCAGATATGACAATGTGTCAGCTCTAATTAGGTGTGCAACATTTATCAATGCATCCGGTCATAGGTGTCTGGTTAAATATAGGAAAATATTGAGAGACAAACGACTAAATGGGCTAATCAAAGGAGTAGTATTGAGATGACTTTCCTAAGGCTGGCTAAGTAAGTGTTTTAATTATTTCTTAAGAAGAGTCGAGAAATATGGTCTTATATGTTGTTTAAATTCATAGATAATTAAACCAGTGGCAATAAGAAAACAGAGAATTATTTTTTCCAGATATCATTGAGGACGTCAGTGACATCTGGCATGGGTTCCAGACTCTGTTAAATCATGTCAATTTCATTTTGCAAAATTAATTTGTTAACAGGACTGAAGTATAAATCAAATTACTCAGGGTGTCTGGTTCCCCAGTCATTTGATATTGACAGTTAATATTCAAGGTTGATATGTTTGCTACGTGGTTACTAACTCCCATGCCACAAATTATGCAAAGTATTCTTTGTACTGTAAACATCTTAGTTGATCATATGCACAATCCAAATGAGATATCTTGACAATTAATTACTTCCTATAACTGCATTCCTTATTTTTGTCTGTTCTCATGCTTCTTCTTGCCCTACTTAAATTTTGGTTGCTTCATTTGCAAACTTGGGTATAGTCTGGATTCCAGCTGAGCTGCAGTATTATGGTGTTTAACTGTCGAAAGGATGAAACAAAAGAGTTGCACGGATAGAAGTCTCGCAGGGGTATGGCTGCCTGCGTTGACCTGTCTAAGTTCCTTCATTGGCAGGAGTCTTCTTATGCACTAGGCCCTTTCGTTTAGTTGTATGTCTTTGTGTAGGTCTGTTGGATCCTTCTGTGGAGACTGAATATTGGTTCTGATACTGCTAGGTCAATACTTCACTTTCTTATACAGGTCTGACACACATTCCTCATCCTGACAGGTTGTTATATGCCAAGCCAGTACTTAATCAGAAAAACATCCAACATCACAGTGGGATGCAGTGTTGAAGATCTTAAGTGGGGTCCTGTCAACCATATCTTTGGACACACTGACAGAAAGTTGGTGCACAGGAGAACTAATGAATTAAGTCATCTTAATGCTGCATCAAGACACCCTTCAGGATCCAAGTCTGAAGCAAGTAGGTGGAAATCAGCATTGACTTCATTAAATGCCTTCTACAGATTTTCACGGCCCCACACAGTCATAGGAACAGTTAAGTCACAATCTTTGAAGTGAATTACTGGCCTATTGCTACATATTATCTGCAAGTATCCTGCTTCTAGTTTATCAATTGGCATCCTGTTCTTTTCATGAGCGCTGCTACACATAATAAGAGACTATTGTCTTTGACAGATAACGAGCATAATCTCAGTTTCTTTACTGGCTGTTGAGAGTTTAACTGATATTTCTCCTTCATTTCTAACTGGATTGTTGGAGGTAATAGCATGAACAAAATTTTCAATTAGAAACTGTGCTTTGCCTTTTTTTGGTACTGTATCATTTTGCTGTCTCACTCTATGCTTCTCTTGCAGGCAGTTATTGCTGCACTTTTCATGAATATTTACATTGTTGGACTAAATCAAGTATATGATATAGAAATAGACAAGGTAACCATTTGGAAATAGTTATCTTGGATTCTTATCCTTATATCTGGAGTTCAATAACACAACAAGGTCACTCTAAGTCTTATCTGTCAATTCTAGTATCTTCATTCTTTATATTGTCAAACATATACCACACTATTGCACTTTTTGTTCAACATGTTCCTCGTAGGAATTCACAATAAATTTGGTATGTTTCTTTTAGGTTAATAAGCCGAATCTCCCTCTAGCATCTGGGGAATATTCACTGAGAACTGGAGTTGCAGTTATATTAACTTCTGCTGCCATGGTAATTAGATACTTTAGTTTCAAATGTGTTTTAAAGAACTACTTTCTGTAGCTTTTTGTCGTTTTTCTAATCTGTGGTAAACAAAGTAGTCCTAGTAAGGGATTTCCATAGCTTCACAAAAGTTCCAATATGGCATTTGCATTTTCTTTCTTGATCTACTCATGTATTATTTTCTACATTGAACCAAATTTGATGAAATTTTTTCGGAAGTAATGAAATGTGGTGATGGATTGATTTAATTAATTTTTCTAACAGGGAAGACAATTTTACTACAAAATATGAGACTGCTTCTCACTGACATACTTAAATTGGAAAATAACATATTTATTGTAGCCAAGCTGTCAAAGAAAGATTCTAATCTTTACTCTCTTGTTTCAGAGCTTTGGTGTTGCATGGGTTGTTGGCTCTCTGCCGTTATTTTGGGCTCTTTTCATCAGCTTTATCCTTGGAACTGCATATTCAGTCAATGTAAGTTTGATTTCTTTTACAAACTTGCTGCTCTCAGGACATAATTTGAATGGTTCCTTGAGAATATGGTGTCTATGTGGATGCTTAGTGCATTTCTGGCATGTTTATCATTTAACTGAAATTTGTGGGTTTGTTTGCTTTTGGTGAGTGTGGGAAAAAGTAAATGCAATATTGAAGTATGAGCAGATCCTGTTCTTATGGCCAAATAAATACAGCATAGCAGCGACAAAAAATCAAGATACTCTAAGCTTGGTTCTTCATGTATGTCTAAGAAAATGTGAAAGCACCCTTGTCCGCAGCCAACCTCAATTATTGCATCCAAAACTTCTTCATAATAGGAAAATAACCGCACTAGGAATTTTAGATGATTTGATATCATATTGGCAGGCCAATTTGAGCAACTTTAGGTCAGTCCTAGGGCCCCAGCTTCTTGACCTTATAACTTAAAACTGCTTCACATCATTTTTAAATCAAGAAGTTGCCTTGCATCTAATTTTTCTTCTAAGATCAAATGTATTTAACTTTGACACTTGAAACCAATTTTTCAACCTGTAACTCAAATTACTAGTTTGATGGATTCTTGATATGCAACTTTTGCATTTGTGTACATGCTGTAATTTAGGAGATTGCTGGAGACAAGCATGTGAAACAGAAGCAACATTGTGCAATCAAAAGATGGGAACTTTACATTTGGCTTATAAATTGCTTAGTTTAGTTTTAAGTTTTCACTGCTATTCTGGAAGATAATTTATCATCTGTCATTCAAATTTTATGTTTGCTTCATTTTTTTTAAGACTCAATTCTCAGGTACTCTCTAGAAATGTCTTCTGAAGAAAGTTTACTTTAACCGAGCTTTGAGTTCACATATGATCATTTTGTCTCATCAGTCATAAGTTAAAGCCTTTTAGAGGCTTCATGTGATGTCAGGAGTTGCTAAGTTGATGTTTTGATTTAATTACTTGCTTTTGCGTTGATATTCATATCACATGCATTATTTATCACCTTTGTTCTCACTTCTATCTCTTCTCTATGTTTTTCCTAAATCCTAACCTTTGTTGCTTCTGGTGGCTGAACTACATTAGAAGCCAAATGTTAAATTAATATGTATGGAACATATTTCATATCTACCTTGAATTGGTCCTGTAAACGTATTTGGCGGCACACATTAATATCTTTAATGTGGTGGCATCATAAATTTGATGGATGAACTCTTGATGAAAGTTATCTGTGTGAGTATGTAATACTAAATCAAATGGTTGTTTTGACACTTTTGACTTCCCAAAAAACAAGCATGTTTGTGTCAAAATCTTTAATTTGCTATCTTGCTTTCAACATGCTGTACTTTACACCATGGGTCAGGGGGAGCTTACTACATTTTAACAAAGATTTCACGGTAGATGTAATAGGCCCATTCATTCTTATATCTTACATACTTTACTTTTGTTATTGTTCAACTTACGAAAGCCCAGTGCACATGTAGAGTTTTATGCCTAAGCAGATGCACATTCATGACTGAGGGCATTTTTCTACAGAAACAACATTTTTAATTGATTTTTTTTTTTAATTTGTTTATTTAAGCTAAAGAAATATGTATGGCATGACAATGAACTTTGGATATGCAAGACGCAAAAATGATGACGTCTCTTAGCATAATTTTTTTGGCATCGTGATGACCTTAATTCTGATTGTTACAGCTGCCATTTTTAAGATGGAAGAGATTTGCAGTTGTTGCAGCAGTCTGCATTTTGGCAGTGCGTGCTGTGGTTGTTCAACTTGCCTTTTTCTTGCACATGCAGGTAGGACATTTATATTTTCCAGGTACTGGCATGAATATAGCATGCACATTAATTTTTTATTGTTACTATTGTCTTTTCATAAGCAGAATGCTTGATTTCAATTTCATCTCACTGATGTATAATATATCATTAATGTCCCAGACATTTGTCTTCCGAAGATCAGTCAGCTTTTCGAGGCCTTTGATATTTGCAACTGCATTCATGAGCTTCTTCTCTGTTGTTATTGCATTGTTCAAGGTAATTTCTTTTTATTCTTCCATGTAAAACATTAGGCTGGATATCCCTGAATAGTTTAAAGATGAAAAACCCGACAGACGATAATCTTGGAAAGAATCAACTGGGTTAGTTAGAAATAAATACATTAGAATTGCAATTTTTTTAGTTGGGTTTTGGCATTTGACATATTTGTATTAAAGTTGATTCATTTGTGATAACCTGGTCTCTTTCATGATGCATTACATGGGCTTGAATTTGTTCAACTTTTATATAGCGTATTGATGCCCACAAGTCCTGATGGCATCTGCTATAGGCCTTTCCCAGAGGGTAGCAGGCACATGACATGTTGATGAGGCAACGGTGGCTCCATACTGCAGAACATTTACTATTGAAGAAAGTTGATTAGATCTTAGATATGACGCTTAATAGAAAATTCATGGGGTAAAGGGAAAAAGGAACATCTGTTGTCCATCTTTATCATATACTCTCCAAATAAATGTGTTGATTGATGCAGCATGCCATAACATTGGGGTGTATAAATTTTTGATAAAAATATACTGTACCTTTGATTTCTTCTTGATCATTATCTGCTTTGTTACTTGTTAATATTAGCTAAAAAATTTCATGATGTTACTCTCTATAATACCATAAACATGGTTCATTTCTGGAATGCAATATTGATCTTATGCAGGATATACCTGATATTGAAGGAGATCGTATCTATGGCATTCGATCTTTCAGTGTTCGGCTGGGTCAGAAACGGGTATCCTAACAAAGAATATTAATCGTTCGTTTAATTTTAGATAATTTTTGTTCATTATCCTGATTATTTCGCCTTTTTGCAGGTGTTTTGGATTTGTGTGTGCCTCCTTGAGATGGCTTATAGTGTCGCTATGGTGATTGGAGCCACTTCATCCTGCATATGGAGCAAGTTTGTAACTGTAAGTGACCAATTTGGAATTAGTATGCAGTTAGTCTATTGTGTTATATGCCACAATTGATTTCTTTGCTTGCTTTTGATGTTATGGCTTCTTTTCCGCCTTGTGGTCATTCATTAACCCAAAATTTTCTTTTGTTTCACAATCAAATTTCAGTTGTTAAAAGGGCAATTGATGATAATTCATGAATGCAGTCACCATGGGAAGCATGTTGTAGGTATCATTGAACAGATTGATGGTTACACCAGTCATACCAAACAAGTTACATAAATGCACAATAGCTTGCCTTGCATCAATTTTTTCTGCAATCACTAATTAAAAAGAGCTCATTATTCCTCAAGATAATTAGAAATCTGATTCTTAATTGCTGTTATTCAATCATGAAATTGTTGTAATAATGTTTCGGAAGGTTTCTGATATTCTTGTCAACATTCAAACCTATACCCCACCCAAAGTTATAATTAGGTTCTATAATTATAACTTTGGGTAGTGTTCTATTCTGTTTCTTTGTTTTTTTTTTTTTTTTCACAAAGCTAGAAAGAGGGTGGAGGTGGGGTGGAATCTGCTTGAAATTTTATTTGTTAATAAGAACCTTATTGGCTTTGCAGGTTTTGGGCCATGCAGTCCTTGCTTCAATCCTCTGGAAACGTGCTAGATCCCTTGACCTTATGAGTAAAGCTGCAATAACATCTTTTTACATGTTTATTTGGAAGGTAAACTGTCAGATGTTTGGAACTGTTACTTGACTATGGTTTTAGGTTCTGCTTTTGGATTTGTATCTCCTTTTATCAAAAAACATCTTAACATTGGTAATTGCATAAAACAAACAGTTGATGCTTTTGTTGCTTTGGTTGCAAACTATCATTAAGAAGTGGAATATGTTTTCTACAGTTGGACACATTATATCTTCTGTTGTTTGCAGCTCTTTTATGCAGAGTACTTGCTCATTCCACTTGTGAGATGATTTTGAGAGTACATTGAAATTTCAAGTTGGCTGCCCTTTTCTATGTTGAAGTGACTGGACAAAAAGAGTAAGTTAACCTCTAGCTCTCAGTAGCTCAGGTTGTGCAGCTTTGATCCTGATTTACATTGATTCCCTTACATTATCTATTATGTTATCATTAGTCAAGTTTTATTAATGGATTGCAGGTTCTTTGGCGCTTTACAGTTCTCAATGGCGGCAAAAGATTCATGTAGACATCCTATTTGCGAGCAATTTGAGAACATGTTTGCATGGAGCACAGATCAATATGCATTCCTTTCATCAGAAGAACTTCTTTCTTTCTATATCGTCTTTATTTTCCCTAACATTTTTGTTATTTCTTTAATCACTACAACTAGTTTTGGAACATTTCAATTATGTGATATCTTTCATCGTAAATTTTGGATTGCACCCAGAAGAAGTCTCATCGAATGAACAACACATATGTTGGGAATGCTCATAACTGTAACTTATCTCGCCTTTATTTCCACTTGAGTTAAACCTTCATCCATTCTGAAATTTCTTAAATGTTCACATAGCACCAGATTTTCTTTTCCATACCAAAAAGAGGTATGTCTCATGTTGATCTTTTCAATTTTAATGAACAAGTTGATCTGCTCAAAATGCTACACCAGTTATCAGCAATCTGCTGCAACATAAGATGGGATTATCTTCAGGAAAAAAACTGCTCTCTTGTCTCTACACAGAAACATATGCAGGTACAGAGGTCGACTGGAGCATGAATCAATTATGGGCTCTGTTTCAGCTGGGTGAGGGACGGTGTGCATAAAATTTCAGAATTAGGTTACCACATAAGAGAGGCTATTTTATCAGATTGTGGTGTCCTTTCTAAAGAATAAGTTCATCATTCTTGTGATGGCCTACAAAGGAACCAGGTCAGTTTATAAATGTAGTTGTTCTTGGCCATCTCTGTGGATATTAATCCTTTTTCATATCATATAGGTCTATTTGCAGTCTTTAGGGGTTAATTTTGTAAGTTAACATGAAGGATGGTACCAATTAGGGCTCAAGAAGCTGAGTCTCAGGTGTTTGTGTGAAAATTTTCGAGCTATTACGTGTCGTCATTCTCTGAAGATCTTGTGTGGTGAGAGTCCACCAGTGCCTGTCACTCTGGTTAGGACTCCACATCCCATGTCGTTCTGCCCACTTCACATGCAGTAATCTCATGATTCATATTTTTTTATGTTTCTTGGACTACCATGTAGCATGTGTAAGGTAGTGGACTGTAAAAGATTCACCACTATCATAAATTTGCAAAAGGATGGGAAGGAATGCATGAGTTAATTATCTAATATATATCTTTTATCTCTGTAGTGGCTATTTGATTTTGAGCCACTTCCGGAATGACTTTATAGGTCTCATAGGTGGGTGAACTTGGAAAAGAAGCAAAGTAGCCAACTTTCTCAAGTTTTGATGGCTATTTGTGCCCTACTGATGCATGTGAAAAGTTTTGATGAGTTTGGCCATAGCCTTTCATCAGCTGAACAGGTCACTTTCCTGCTGCAATATTTTCTGAATAGGCCTTAGTTTTTGTCCATGGATTAGTTTCACTTTGAAGCATTTTATCATCACTTTGAGTAGTGGACTGTAAAAGATTCTCCACTATCATAAATTTGCAGAAGGATGGGGAGGAATGCATGAGTTAATTATCTAATGTATATCTTTTATCTCTGTAGTGGCTATTTGAGCCACTACCGGAATGACTTTATAGGTCTCATAGGTGGGTGAACTTGGAAAAGTAGCCAACTTTCTCAAGGGTCTTTTTAGCCCTACTGATGCATGTGAAAAGTTTTGATGAGTTTGGCCGTAGCCTTTCATTAGCTGAACAGTTCACTTTCCTGCTGCAATATTTTCTGAATATGCCTTAGTTTTTGTCCATGGATTAGTTTCGCTTTGAAGCATTTTATCATCTTTGACATACATCTAAATTATGGACCATACTGATGTCAGGGAAAGGGCAAATTTTGTTCCTACTCTTAGGACAATGGATATTATGATATTTGCTTCCACGGCATTCCCTAAAGAAATGTTATCATAGATCTGGGGATTCTCAACAACAAAAGAATTTTTGCCAGTTCAAGTATAAGACAAGTTTCTACATGGGCTGTCAGCTTCTTTCAGCAGGAAATCTGAGAGAAGATTTTCCATGGCCTGTCAACTTCAATCTCAGGTGTGCACTTTCATATCAGCAAATAGTGATTAGCAGATTAAGTCCATGAAATGTCTACCAACAGCACAAATTTTCAGTTCTTGTCAACTCCCAAAATTCTTCTTTTCTGCTGAGTGGACCTAGTAACAGTCTTGAGCCCATGAACATTAGATATCTCCAGGTCAATTGTTGTTCAGAATCACATCCTAGAGTTTGGATACTTCACATGCAGAATGGGTTCCAGCAGATATTGGCCAGAAAAGCTGCATGTGGATCAGATACTGAGACTTCCAATAGATTTCACTTTCGTATACAACATAACCAAAAAGAAATTTTATATCATGCCTGGTACTTTTTAACATTTTTTTCTCTTTATTAAGAAATAGTTCATGTTTGACTTAAACTAAACATAATTACTCACCATCAATCTGTTTGGCAGGCACCAAATCCAACTAGGGTCTGATTTAGACCTCTTCTCTGTTGGACTCTGATACCAGGATACTGAGCATCTGTCACTAAAGGACTAGCCTAAAGAAAAAAAGAAGCTATGTATCATTTCCTCTATATCTTCCAAGTTATCTTGTTTCTCCCAATCCTCAGCCATTTCTTCAAGTCAGAAACTGGTGAAGAGAAGGGATCCAATGTGGTGTACCATACCACACTCTGTACCACTCACTTTGGTCGAGTGAGGTTTCAAGTCTTATAGTGCTCCAAATATCAGCGAGACATATATCATGGCATGTTGCAGCTCATGGAAGCAACTTCTTGTGGAGAACTCATCCCTCAGCCTCTACCCTCATGTCTGAAGTATGCAATCATGTCTCTGGACCATCTATGCTGCGGTCTTTGAGGTAATCATTCCACACTGTACATGATAAAAAAAATAATCAATAATGTTAAAGTTAGACCTGGTTGGATACTGAGGCCTGCAGTTATACTGCCATCCTCACTTGGCATGGGAATGGGTTGTGGGCATCTCAATGTCAGATTTATGTAGTTGCCTTTTCGACCTATTTAAAAAATCATGGGTACTATTTTCTTCAAGATAGTATAAGAAATTACTTATATAAAATTATCGAATTCGATCCTTTGGTTCAGATTTTTGGGTACTCCCAAAACTAGTCAAACCCAGCACTATGGATTCAATTCGGTTTGAAATTCTCACCCTAGGCCATGCTTATCTGATTCTAAATTTGGTTCCTTTGCAGTCTTAGAACTTGTGTTCTTTTTTATAAATTGTAATATTGTCTTCATATGGATATATGTTATGTACATGTACATATGAATGTGCCTTAATATGCCCTGCTAGGCTGTAAAAGATAACACTAACCTAAATGTCCATGTTTGGTATGAGATGTTCTGCTACTTTAGGTTAAGCTGAAGGCAGAACATCACAGCATCTACTCATTTAGCTTTAGGCTAAAAGTCTCTTTTAAGTGCACCTTGCACTTTTTCCTATAAAAAAATATTGATAAATTTCAGAAGATGGTGGTCCAAAGAGGGCCAAACCTTTGCATGATTGAGATGGACTATTGCATGTCCAGTTATGAGGGTTTGGTGCTCTACAGATTGTTAGATTTGTCATTTCATGTCCACTACCCGCGTTGCTTCATCATTAATGTAGTTCTCTTGTGAAGATTGTAGAACCAATTCCACATTGATGCTTGCCTTGCTGCTGATAGTATGGACATAATATGGTTTTCTTTTTTTGCATGGAAATATTACTTATTTGGCTGTTAACTTACAAAAAAAAATACTTGTTCATTTTTTTCGCTAACATGCTTTAAATGTTGAAATATCTTGATCAGAGGACAAGGTTATCATCACCTTTGACTTTGACGAGGCTTCTCGCACATTTCATGCAAGGCCTGGAGAACAAAATCCCATCCCTGTGGTGAACTTAAGGGAAGATGCTATTCTCTTTCACCTTCCAAACCCAAAATGAAATGGTAATTGAGTTGTACTTCATGCATCAATGGAGGGTTTTCCGTCACTCATTTTGCCTCATATAATTGTCCCTTGTCAGATCTTGAGAGAGCATTTGGCAGTCTTGTGGTGGTCTTCTGACTTTACTTTCACAAAGTTGCATATGATTGAAGAAAGAAAGAAAAACTCTTCCACCTTATGGATGGATAACTTTGGATATGGTTTCTATCCACAAGAAAGCATCTGGAGCTTGAGTTCCCTGTAAGGCTTTTCTTCTCTTTACACAACTTGCATACCTCTTTCTTCCCCCTTTCAAACAATAGCCAATTTATATTTTATATTTCAGAAAATCTAGCATGTTTTTAATCATTTCTAAGGTCAGTCACCTCTTTATATCCTTATACTTTTATAAACCTTTATCTACTTGAATGCTAGATGCCATGTTACAGATGCTTGTGCATCACTAGCTGAAGCTTCACTAGCAAACAAGAAGACAACATTGAAGGAGAATAAGCATCTCTACAATTTGCAGAAAGGGAATGATCATATTAGCTTCATAAGCTTATCAAATTAACTTAATCAAATGATGATCACAGATAATCTGAGTCATTAACTAATTGCAAAGCATAGGATTGATGATATTCCCAATGGATGAGATGTCTATGAAAGACACTGATACTGTTTGTCTTTTGTTGTGAGGACAAGTGAAGTACCTACTCACAACACCACCAACAACAAAACGTCATCCCCAACGCTAATTACCCTTTGATATTAATCCTTTGGATTATACAATGCTTAGCATTTTAAGTCGATTATTACTAGGAATTAGAATAGACATTCATGCATGTTGACAGATGTTTACTGCTTAGTCTCTGTCAAATTTAGTTAAGACTACAAGAACATGTACTACTTTTGACTCAGGTTTAGGTCAAACTACGTAGCTAAAAATAATTCACATTAAGATTCTGTCCTCGGTTGATTCATCCTATTTGGGATGTTCGATAAGCTCGAATCATACAGAACATATTCATAATTAATTGTAAGTTTACCTCCATCATTCTTAGCTGGCAAAGATTAAAGAAATCTAAGTTGCTTTGTGTACGGTATGAGTACCGCTTCAATGTGTGTTTATATACGTAAGCGCACATCAGTTTACACGAATCTCAAAGCACGGTGGCTACCGTGTCATGCTTATGGATGGACCCGAACCCAAGCTTTCGAATCAGATCCGAGTCCGTTTGCACGACGGAGATCGCTCATGTCGGGCTTATGGGTCGACGAACCCGAAATTTCGAATTCGATCTGAGTCGGTTTGCACGAATCTCGAAGCACGACGGAGATCGGTCACGTCAAGCTATGGATCAATCGAAATCCAATGTTTCGAATTGGATTCGAGTCGGTTTGCACGAATCACAAAGCACGACGGAGATCGGTCACGTCAAGCTTATGGATCAATCGGAACCCAATGTTTCGAATTGGATTCGAGTCGGTTTGCACGAATCACAAAGCACGACGGAGATCGGTCGTGTCAATCTTATGGATCGATCCGAATCGAAGCTTTTGAATTGAATCCGAGCCGAGTTGCACGACTCCTAAGGCACGACGGAGATCGGTCATGTCAATCTTACGAATCGATCCGAACCCAATATTTCGAAATGGATTCGAGTCGGTTTGCGCGAATCTCAAAGCGCAACCGCTATCGGTCATCGCGGGCTTATGGATCGACACGAACTCAAGATTTCGAATTGGATTCGAGTCGGTTATCGGATCTGTGCAAGTTGTCGCGTACGATACTCGATCCGTAACTTCAATGGATCCCGAATCCGCATCCGATACCGCCAGAGCGTGGAGAGGGTGCGAGGAGGGTATAAATAGGGCTCGTCGACTCGCGACCTTCCTTCCTCTGCCTCCATGACTGTCGTCTCTCTTTATCTCGAACGATACATAGAGAGAGTGCGACGGTCGCTTCTCCTGGTCCTCCTCTGAGGACTGGTCTGTTCTTCTAGGGTTCTGTCTCTCGCTCCCTCTCTCTCTCTCTTTCTCCGCCTTGGTTGGTGTTCGCCCCTGCTGCAGAGATGGCCGGCAACAAGGCGATCACCTTGGAGGATATCAAGAACGAAACCGTCGATCTTGTAAACGCCTCCTCACCTCTTAAGATTTGCTTTTTATTAAGGATTACGAGTTCGAAAAGAAGAAAAAAAAGGAATTTTTTTCCCTTTCTCTGTGGAGGCGTTTGCGGTTGCTGTTCCAGCTTATACTGTGGTTTCGATACCCTCACTTTCTCCTATTCCTTCTCGTCAAATGGCAAGGCCATGGCAAAGGAAGGAGGGGCAGAGGCATGCAATTTTTCCCTCTAGTTTAGTGCTTTCATTTAATCTTGTTTCTGATGTTGCTTCGGTCTTCCAGCTCGCTCTTGTCGTCTTCTCATTCCTTTATGCTAAATGATTAGGAAGGTGACTCCTTTCCGTGTCCTGATCTCAAGTACTTCCAAGTACTCGTCCGTGACGCTAAAAGATAACGCTTTGCCCCCTCGCCTTGTCCTCGATTAACGCGCCCTAAAAGCAAAGAGGAAAAAAAACAAAAAAGTCCTTAACATTTCGTTTATTTTTCATCGTCGGTTAATGCTCATTCGACGGCCTCTGCATGCTCGCACGATAACGACACCGGTACTGTGGACGGTAGTGATTCGTTGGCGTCCTCGGACTCGTTTCCGGTTTTTGGACTTCGGTTTCTGAGTATTTTTCGGTTGATTTAGGAAGAAAAGTATTTTTGGTTGTGATTTTGACTTGTTATTATCTTCTTTCTTGATCATTTGGTTGTGTTTAGGAACGGATACCGATCGAGGAGGTGTTCGAGGAGCTGAAATGTACCAAACAAGGCCTATCGTCGGAGGAAGGAGCCAGCCGGCTCCAAATCTTCGGCCCCAACAAGCTCGAAGAGAAAAAGGTTGAATTTTCTCAAGAGATCTCATTTCTATCTCGGATATTTCTGCAGCTTATGGACTGAGCAACGGGTAGATTCTGTAATGGCAGGAGAGCAAGATTCTCAAGTTCTTGGGCTTCATGTGGAATCCTCTATCGTGGGTCATGGAGATGGCCGCTGTCATGGCCATCGCGTTGGCCAACGGCGACAATAAGGATCCGGACTGGCAAGACTTCGTCGGCATCATCGTTCTCCTCGTCATCAACTCCACCATAAGCTTCATCGAAGAAAACAATGCTGGTAACGCCGCCGCTGCGCTGATGGCCGGTCTCGCTCCCAAGACCAAGGTCTGTGTTTGTTCTTCCCTACTGCTGCTCTTTTGCTAAATTCACGTGTTTCGTGGTAAAAAGTTGGATCTTGATGGATGTAGGTTCTTAGAGATGGCCGCTGGAGCGAGCAGGACGCAGCAATTCTTGTGCCAGGTGATATTATCAGCATCAAACTCGGAGATATCGTCCCTGCTGATGCGCGGCTGCTCGAAGGTGATCCGCTGAAGATTGATCAGTCTGCCTTGACTGGTGAATCCCTCCCAGTCACCAAGAATCCCGGAGACGAAGTGTTCTCTGGCTCGACCTGCAAGCAGGGTGAGATCGAGGCTGTCGTCATCGCGACCGGCGTCCACACCTTCTTCGGGAAGGCAGCCCATCTGGTGGACAGCACGAACCAAGTCGGGCACTTCCAGAAGGTCCTGACAGCCATCGGTAACTTCTGCATCTGCTCCATTGCGATCGGCATGATCGTGGAGATCATAGTCATGTACCCAATTCAGCACAGGAGATACAGGAATGGGATCGACAACCTGCTGGTCCTCTTGATCGGAGGCATCCCGATTGCCATGCCCACCGTTCTGTCGGTGACCATGGCTATCGGGTCGCACAGGTTATCCGAACAAGGCGCTATCACGAAGAGAATGACTGCCATAGAGGAGATGGCTGGCATGGACGTTTTGTGCAGTGACAAAACTGGGACGCTGACCCTCAACAAGTTGAGCGTCGACAATAATCTGATCGAGGTGTTCACAAAGGGTATGTTTAAGGATCATGTAATCCTATTAGCTGCTAGAGCATCAAGAACAGAGAATCAAGACGCTATCGATGCTGCCATGGTGGGGATGCTTGCGGACCCAAAGGAGGTGATGTATAAGCTCTCGCTGATGATCCTAATGATATCAAGTTTTCATTGCGATAGTTCTTACGATTGGATCAAACACTCAATTTTCGATGGACAGGCAAGAGCTGGTATCAGGGAAGTACATTTTCTCCCCTTCAACCCTGTCGACAAAAGAACTGCTCTTACCTACATTGATGCTGATGACAATTGGCATCGTGTAAGTAAAGGTGCACCGGAGCAGGTAAATTTCATTTCCTATAACAAATTGTTCCACATTATCATCACTCACGGGACGTCACAATGTATTTGATCACTGGGTTAGATTTTGAACCTTTGCAACTGCAAAGAAGATGTCAGGAATAAGGTTCATACAGTAATCGATAAGTTTGCCGAACGCGGACTTCGATCTCTAGCCGTTGCAAGACAGGTTTGATCTTGCTGTTCTTGGCAGTTCCATATACTACTTTGTTAATGCTTTCTTCCATGCAACAACAGTTATCTCTCTTTTCCAGGAAGTTCCAGAGAAGTGCAAAGAGAGTGCAGGAACACCATGGCAATTTGTGGGTTTGTTACCCCTGTTTGATCCCCCGAGGCATGATAGTGCAGAAACCATTCGAAGAGCTCTCAACCTTGGTGTCAATGTGAAAATGATCACAGGTAAGTCAACCATTCCTTTTTCTTCCCTGTTTGCTATTTTGTTGATAGGTCATCTTCTCCTAACAAACATGCCCATTTCAGGCGATCAGCTTTCTATTGCCAAGGAGACAGGCCGGAGACTTGGAATGGGAACAAATATGTATCCTTCCTCTTCATTGCTAGGCCAAAACAAAGATGCATCAATTGCTGCACTTCCTGTTGATGAACTGATAGAGAAGGCTGATGGATTTGCAGGAGTATTCCCAGGTGGCCTTGATAAGCATACACGATACAAATAAATTATGTGATTTGAGATTCTTTGCGACTAATATCTTACGGATGGGTATTCCCTAATGCAGAACACAAATATGAGATTGTGAGGAAGTTACAGGAGAGGAAGCACATATGTGGAATGACCGGAGATGGAGTCAATGATGCCCCTGCTTTAAAGAAGGCTGATATTGGTATTGCGGTTGCTGATGCAACAGATGCAGCAAGAAGTGCTTCTGATATTGTTCTTACTGAACCTGGTCTTAGCGTCATCATCAGTGCTGTCCTTACTAGCAGAGCTATTTTCCAGAGGATGAAGAACTATACTGTGTGCATTTTAATCACTGCTTTTGTTCCTTTATTTTTCTCAGCTTCTGTACTGGATTGTCATTGAGTAATTTTGTTTTACTGCAGATCTATGCTGTCTCTATCACTATCCGTATTGTTGTAAGTTTCAAATTGAACCTCTAGCCTTCGGTGCATGCATGCAATCTGAAGTTTTTAGGTCTAGCATGATTATGTCTCCACATATTGGTTTTCATATGATTTTAACCTTTTCAGCTCGGATTTATGCTTATTGCACTTATATGGAAGTTTGACTTCTCACCCTTCATGGTTTTGATCATTGCCATCCTAAATGATGGTAAGTTTAGATGATATACTAATGATAGTTTGATGTTATTTTCTTAACTCCATCACCTTTATTCTGATCTGGAGGACATTTTCTATTGCACCTTGGCAACTGAAGGTACAATTATGACAATTTCAAAGGACCGGGTGAAGCCATCTCCATTGCCTGATAGTTGGAAGTTGAAAGAAATATTCGCTACAGGCATTGTGTTTGGGAGTTATTTGGCATTGATGACTGTTATTTTCTTCTGGGCCATGAAAGATACTCACTTCTTCTCGGTGAGTATTCTTATTCCCTTTTCACGCACAAGGAAAAAAAAATTCATGGCAAATAAATTAGGTAACTCATATCTTTCTCTTCACATTATTGCAGAATTTGAACATGTTTTCATTACTGTGTCATGTCCTTAACTCTATATTAAATGGTCTCCACAGAACTGAATGAGATCTAATAAAGTTTCTGGTGATGTTCTTGGCAGGATATATTTAAAGTTAGGTCACTTAAAGACAGTGAGGATGAAATGATGGCTGCTTTGTATCTGCAAGTTAGTATTGTTAGTCAGGCTCTTATATTTGTTACACGATCACGCAGCTGGTGCTTTGTTGAGCGCCCTGGACTTCTTCTAGTCAGTGCCTTTATCATTGCTCAGCTTGTAAGATTCTCATTTTCTCATACTCTTTTACCATAGATCGACTTCCTCGATGTCAGTTTTATGACTGTGTACACATGAACATCAGATGATAGGCAGAAACACCATTGAAATTATTGATATTTGCTATAACTGTTTAGTCAGTTGACATGAAGATCTACTTTTGTTCTATTGGAACACAAATGAGTTACTATGCAGTTGAATCCAGTTGCACCTTGAGAAGGCTAAAGTATCTACTACATATATTCCTCTAGAAGTATGAACTTTCTGTTTTTGTAACAATTGTCATGGCTGCACAAGCAACTTATGTTGTGTTTTATTCCAGATTATTATGTTAACAAAAATGCATTATGTTTCAGTTATAGTTCTCTATAGTTCACTAAGAACCTAAGCAATCATGCATCATCTGCCTTTTTTACTCATTGAATTTTTTATTAACTACACATTATGTGCTTATGGCAGGTTGCAACAGTCATAGCTGTCTATGCTGACTGGGGCTTTGCACGGATAAAAGGTATTGGATGGAGATGGGCTGGTGTTATCTGGATTTACAGCATTGTTTTCTTCTTCCCTCTGGATTGGTTCAAATTTGCTATCCGCTACATTCTAAGTGGAAAGGCTTGGGATAACCTTCTCCAGAATAAGGTATAGATTGTCTGTTTCTTAGCCAAGATATTAATGTTGTTGATCGATTTTAGCATTTTTCTTTTTTGTTCATTTAATCATCTATTCTTAGTTGTTGTTGAATTGATTTTTTTTTTTTTCTAATTTGCATTTGCTTTTCTGTGTATTATATCTCAGACTGCTTTCACTACCAAGAAAGATTATGGTAAGGAAGAAAGGGAAGCTCAGTGGGCTATGGCACAACGAACTCTTCATGGACTTCAACCCCCTGAAACCACCAATCTTTTCTCCGACAAGAGTAGCTACAGGGAACTATCAGAAATTGCTGAACAAGCCAAAAGGCGCGCTGAAATCGCAAGGTATGGTTTCTTCCAAAATCATAAAACTAATTTTTGATCAAGGTACTTGTGATCTTAAAAATCTGAAGCTTCTAAGAATCAAAGTGCACCACTTTCTTACATGGTTGTCGCATAGATGGTTTGTTAAAAGGATTCAAAGGATTTCTTGTGATCATATCTTCACATCCTAACATCCTTGGTGCGTCGGTCATCTACAGGCTCCGCGAACTGCACACTCTGAAGGGACACGTCGAGTCAGTGGTCAAGCTTAAAGGGCTCGACATCGACACCATCCAGCAGCATTACACCGTATGACATCCAGCATGTGAAGAAGTCTCATATGAAGCAAAATCGATGGAAAGTGATGGTGTTGAAGATGAAGCCATTTCTGATTTTAACCGAGTAGCATCCTAGTGTCTTCTAGTTCTGTGTCGTGCCATATTCATTTTAATGCTTCTTTTCTGTCTCATAATAATGCCAACTTGCTATTTTTATCTACCGTGAATTTTTGTGTTTGTGATTGATCATTCGCTATTCATTGATCTTCAAGGCAGTTGGATGTTGTTGTTATTCCACTTCCAGTTTCATTTGTTCCACACTGTATGACTTGTTGGTGACCTTTGGCACAGAAGAGTGTCACCTCTGTTGTTCACACTTTCAATTGTGACTGTGAGTGCTTCTTTAGATTCACAATAATGTTCCACAATTGTCAACCTGATTCTGTTCTACATCTTCTGCAACCCTAAAAAAATTCTTATTTGAGTGCTCATAACATTGGATTGCACTGAGTGTCTGCTTGGGTTAGACCTTTTAATTGCTTAGATTGGGATAGGGTCAGCCCTCAACCCTACCATCCTCCCAAGACTGACATGACAGTTACTATCTGTCGAAACTTTGTTTAGAATTGTAGTTCATCTACAAATATTTGTGAATTTTATGTATGAAATTACATATGCCTGCTTCAAGTTCTTTTTTCCTTCTCAAGAAGTCCCAACTACAGTGGAGTACCCAAAACATTTCTTTTTGCATAAGAGATAGATAGATAGATAGATAGATAGATAGATAGAGAGAGAGAGAGAGAGAGAGAGAGAGAGAGAGAGATTGTTCCGTATTCTACATGATTGTACCTCATCAAGGCCATGGCCCCCTTCTTTAAGGCCTTTGTCAGGACTGCACATTATTAATTTCCTGAAACAGTTAGATAGCAGTGGCTGTTATCTTGGAATTGACTTGCAGATGATGTGACCTGCAATCCTTCTGACGCTGGATTAATCATGGAGACAATGATTTGGACACCCTACTCTTTGCTCCAAGATGTGCCAATGACCAATGCATGTGCAGTGGGAGGATTGTCAAACTTGATCAGAGATGACAGACCACATGAGGACAAGAACCTAAAGACTTTGATGCTATGAGTTGTAAGGCTTGCAACACTTGAATTACTGAAAACAAGAAAAATCTGAAGCAGGGAGAAGGAGATAATGTTTGTCATTCACTCATCATCAAAGTTCAGGAAACCACTCTGCAATCATCAAAGATCAGTGTGGTATATTTTCACATAGGAAGACAATTATGACATTCACATAGGATGATACTTTTCCAGTGCAGTACATCAGCTGTACATTCAATGATAGCTCTTTTTGACAAGCATGAAAGGGAAAATGGAATGGAGAAAAGATCTGCTTTCCATATGAGAACATAAGAGAGAAAAGAAAATAGGATGATTTCTTTTAGGAATAAGATGAGTAAGATTTCAAGTTATAGATCATGTTCTCCACATGCCTGTTTTAGTCCACTAGAAATATTTCTGTTATTTCAAACATAGAAAAATACTGTGGTGAGTGATAGATGATGACATCTCTTTGTTCTTTGGTTCACCTCTTTTCAGAGACATATTGCACCTATTTGTAAGATTAAACAAAATGTCCAACCTGTCAGAAAAATAAATACTGGCTGATTGTTCATCTGATGTTCTAACAAGAATTTGAAGATTTCCATGTTGTGGATTTTCTCTGTACTCACAACATAATCATTTCCATTTGAAATATCTGTTGTGAAAATGAAATGACTGCCCAATAAATCTCAACAAGAAACAGCTTTCCCTTGAAAGAACAATGTTTCCTGTAATTTACAGGAAAATTCAGATAACATATTTACTGTAATTCACTTTACTTTCCCTGAAAAGGAGTCTGACTATCAACTTCTTTCCTTCACACACACAAAAAAAATGCCAAACAAGAAGATATTGAGCCTTCTGCACCAATTTTCCACCTCCTTTTAATTTTGGGGTGCCATTCCTGATACTAATATTCACATATACACATGATCTGGATAATGTACACAATTCTTGTATCTCATTGTGTGAGACAGGGGAGAGAAATATACAAGCTAATGTTTGTTCAAGCTCACTATCACACTTTTATTTCTTACATCTCACTGGTGGTAGAAAAGGAGGGGCAGATTCAATTAGTATCAGCTGAATCCTGCTCGAGTCTACTGCCAAACTCTCTCAGTGAGGATCCATGAGATCAGTGGAAGATGTTCGATTCGACCAAGTCGGTAGCCTCCACAGCAGTCTCTTGCACCTTTTGCGCTTGTTCGATAACTCCATTTCTGATCTCCTCACCATCTCCCACATGACCTGCACATCCTGGTATCCACACATCTGAACATCATCGCGAAGCTTCTGAATTCCACCACCTGCCATGAATCCACACACTTAATTAGCTTCTCTGTGGTTGCAGACCACCAGAGAACAAGGTGACTGAAATAAACTGAACACATGCTTCTTGAGGTTCACAGATGAATCACAATAACCAGAAAAGAAACGATGCTGAAAACAAAGTTTGGCTTCACATTGTATGAAGTCGAAATGCATCGGCAAGTCAAAGGACTTGCAGCTACAATTGGATTCATCATGCTGACCGATTCCTAAAATAATTTACATAAAGCAAGACCTATAATTTAACCTTGTAGCCAAATTACCATTTACCTTTGGCCATCCAAAGGATCATCACATAGAACTTGATTGCTTGTCTACAACAAATAAATGATCATGACAAACTAAATTACTCGATGTACACCGTCGAAAGAGACTCTCTGCTTGTAGAGGGTAAGACTGCATATATACCCACGAATTAGGACTCCACATAATAGCTTCAAGAGTCAACTTGTTAGCGTCCTCATAACACCAAGTACCAACTCAACAGTGCTATTAGGACTCTCAGTTTCGAATTCAGGTTGTCCCACAATTCGGCACCCACCTAAAAGCTCTGTAGAAGAGGCTGTGCAAAGATGTTTCTTTTCTTCTGCAATCATCACGCCATAAGAAGATGACAGGACATGCCATAGGTGAAGAGACGATGATGACGATGACATGTTCATCGAGAAGCATGCTATTCTCACCTCCGGTCCTCCGATTCACATGGTATGCTTAATGTGAAGAAGCAGGATAAGGAGGCGGATGAGCTCACTGGGGTTTGGAGCCTTAACCCGGGCGGCGGCGGCGGCGACGGCGACGCAGGCACGCTTCACGGGGAAAGCCACGGCCTTGTCCCACCAGGCCATCGCCTTCGCTCCTACCCTTCGCCGCCGGCTCGCGGCGTGCTTATCCGCTCCGGTGGACCCCAGCCTCCTCCTCCTCCTTCGGCGATCGACCACCGACCCTAAACCTTCCTCTCGTGGGGAGGGTGAAAAGGGTCTCCAGATACCTTGCGGTGCCTGCAAAGCCTCTCTCTCTCGGTGTGGCCTTCTTATCTTCGTCTTCAACATTCTTCGTTAGCAAGTCGAGCACCAAACCGAGAGGCGGAATATAAGCAGTGTTGGATGGAGGTTGATATTCTCACCCTCCATTAGTTGCCTCAACACGACGCCCACAAAAATTGGGCTTACCACGCGTACCCGGATTTCTTCCCTAACACTATCTCCTCCCTCGTGGCTTTCAAAGAGACCTGAACCTTTGCGCCCCACATGTCCAACTCGGTGCCACGTGGAATCTTGGGCGTTGGCATCCCAGCGGATTCATCTACCTTCGTGGGTCCCACTTTGAGGACCACAAGAAAACGAACACGTAATCGAGAGAGAGCGACGCTGTTTCGTAAAGGACAGCGGGACGTCGTGGGTCTCTCGGAAACCGGAGACAGCTGCGCCCCGCAAGTCCAACACTGTGCCACGTGGGAGAGATAGATTTGGTGTTGTGAGGGGCGTCTCTTGGAACGGCGGGTTCCGCCATCGTGATGGGTCCCACTTTATGGACCACGATGGAACGAACACGTCATCGAGAGAGAGAGACGCTGTTTTGTAGGGAACAGCGGAAACGGCGGATAGAGTTTTCGAGCCACGACTGCGCGGGAAGGATGCAGGCCTTTCCCCCGGAGGGAAGCGCGGGGAGAAACTACTGGTATTGACGCCCCGTCGTTCGCTTTTGACGCGGGTCCGTCACGTGTCTCTTAATGCTCTGAAGTATGACTCGATTCACGACTCGAGGATGTGACTGCTCCAAAAGCGGATGTGCGTCATCCGTCCCCTCTCGTAACTCGAGTCGTCTTCAGAGGCCTCCCATAACGCCGTCGACATATCGCCGTTAAAACGGGCGCTGGAATGCGGATCAGGATAAGTTCCTGTCCGTTCCCGCCTAACACGACAACGCAGCAACGAGACGAGCTTGTGCGAACCACTCCAATGGATGCTGCAACCCCGGTGTCGTCTTCTCCCTACATACACACACTGCACAGGTTTCCTCTCGTTATTTGTCAGCATCAATCTTGGGTAGCTGCAACATACCATATGCCGGTGCTTCCAATATCCTACAGTCACCGTGACTGAGAGATCAGTAGAAACAGGAGTCGTGAGAAGATAGCTCAATCTCGAGGTATTGCATCTGTTTCCTCTGATCTCAGAGAGACAAGAAGTGTCTGCATTACTACGTAGAGCCCATGGAAGATCTATCAGTTTGACATCTTTGGTGGTGCAGATGACACAGAAACCTGGCAAGTTCCTTGTTTCTGCTCATGTGCTGTTGCTGACTAAATGGTAACCTCACAATTTGTGATACAGTAATTGTATCAAGAAGAGCTTGTTCTGCTTTCATTTAGGACTAGCAGTAGTAGTTATGCACATCATAGCAGCATCTTCTCCTATTTGCATTAAATTAACTGTTATTTTCATCAAGAAAAATAAATGCAGCAGGTTGGACAAGAAGGATATTAGACTGTACAAAACAAAAATGTACACAGAAAAGCCTAACAATTACCTTTAGAATTATGTATGAATCTCCAGTGAAGAATTTTCTATGAGAAGAACTTGGTACAGTTACCGGCCGAAAATTCTCAATACAGCCATATTTCCAATCCACTGTTTGTTCTAAAGGAAACAAAATCTGCATACAACACCATCTGCAGAGTCATAAAGGGCCAATGACAGCAACAAAAAGCCAAAATTTCAATAGCATGTATCAGCTTTTGATGTAGGAGCTGCAGCATACAAGCATATACCTATATTTTTTTATGATCATTTTGCAGGAAAATTTTACTACATTATTACAGCTTTTTAAGTCTGCATCAGATCTGACAGTCTCCAGGTTGATGATTCATTTGATGAGAACTGCAAGTGAATCTCTACTTGATTACCGTCTGCACAATCCAGTGTCTACTTCTCCTCAGTCTGTATCTCAGATCTGCTCATCCTACATGCCGTAGGATTCTTCCTTCAGGCAAGTCTTTCATTGAACAACCAACCAATGCACCTAACATCTCAACGTGGTATTAAGCATTGAAAAACAGAGCCTAGAATACCACAACTGATTCAAGTCCTAAACTCAAAACTTCATTAAGGATTTTATCCGAGGCAACAGATAATAAGAGTTAAACTCTTCACTTCTTCAAGATCATGTTGAATTCAAATCAGATAGTTTGTCAGACATATAATAGGTTCTAAAATTTTGTTAGTTGAGTAGGTCTAGTCAATCGGTTCTGTTCTCAGATTCTTTAATCATGTTAACTATGTTTCCCTTAAAATTTCTTCCAAGTTTGGAAAATAGATGATGAACTAAATGCAAACTACACCCTGCTTTTAACAATTACATGCGTTCTTCTGCATATCTCAGATTGAACAGATATAACATCGGAAGGTCAAATAACAGAATCAGCTAGAATAAGAGTAACATTGTGAGGATATGGCGTTTGCCCAGCTTCCTGGAAAGCGGAATCAACATTCTTCATGGAGACTGCCATACTTGAAGCACTATCCAATGATTTTGGCTTCAAACCAATGAGGCTAGAATTCTGCATAAAGCATCAGTAACTGATAGGCAATTAGTCCAAACCAAAAAAAGAAACCCACCTATCTCACTTGCTAACAAGACAAGATGATCAATCACTATAACCCTTCTTAGCCGATAATTGCCCTGAATATGCATTTTAAAAAAAGAGAAAGTTAATGGAAATTTTCCTTTTCATACAATATGCTACAACTAAGAAAATAATTAGCACTAGAATCTACTGCATAAACAGATATCAAGGACATACATAAAATCACCTACTACATTAAAAGAGGAAAATAATACAATATTTCTAGACAGCTTCTTAATATGCAAAGATACTATTTTTCCCACTGTGTATGTAAATTGATCAGGCACTTTCATGCAGTTATACATAAAACAAAATCACAGACAACACCCTGCTCATAACAGCTTTGAATCTTTATTACATGACAACACTCTAACAAAATGGACTTTACACAGAATGATTCCAAATCAGCCTTGCAGCCAGTACTTCAAGTCATAAGGTCCATCAAGTCCATCACAAAAGTACTCTTGAGTGCACTCATGAGACCCCAAAAAGAAGAGAAAATATAACGAAGAGATGTTTGAGTGTGACATTTAAAGAACCCAGACAGAGTCAATGTAGGTAAATTAACTAAGAACATTCATCAACAACATAATGGGCAATGGTTGTTCCTCATGCAATTGGAGATTATCTTCAAAATCCAAAGTTAAAACCTTCAGAACAAAAGAACGCTTCAGAAAAGAATGCAATTTCCTTGCACCAAAAGTGATTACACTGAATAAATACTTATATCCCGGAAAGACCCAATATGACTCGTTACAGAATCATCTGGGTACCTCAGATTTAAACAAACACAAGCAGTTGAAAGATAAATCATATACATTATAGATTAGATTGCCCCAAAAATCTGTAGTTCAGAAGGATTATGAGGACTCAGATGGGTTTATTTACGTCAAGAGCAGTTACATTGACCAAGTGGATCACACAGACATCAAGCAGTCAATAATCTGAATCCCATGAACCAATAGAATTCAAGAGCTTCCAGCTTGCAAACAATATAAAAGTACGGAAGAACAATTTCAGAAGCATGCTGTGACAGAGTTTAGGCCAAAAGAATCGGAATGATGAGATTCCAACCCAAAATCAAAAGAATCTAACTAATTTCCAATCTCCATTGCCATCGAAGTCAATCGCGCACTCAACAGTGACCAACCAAACTTGATGTACAGACAAAAACAAACACAATCCGCTTCTTTACCTTAGCCGGAGCCTCAGGGCCAGCCAACCCCACGCCCAAAAAACAAGCACAGAGAACAACTCAAAAACAAGATCGGTTCCACGAGCAGCGAGAAGACCTCAGGAACGATGGAAAACACTGTCATTAAGAAAAAGGGTAGAGGTGGGGAAAAGAATCAAAGAAAAATCACACCTTTGCTTACTCAAAGCGAACGGCGCGATGACAGCGACGACAGCGGCACGATAAGGGAGAAAAAGGTAAGGCGTATGGGGAACAAGGAAAGAAACATCGCACTTTTACTGGTTCAGAGAGCGACGGACTCCGGGGGTGGTCGGAGAGGGAGGCACGAAGCGAACCCTAGTGAGCAACGGAATCGATCTCGAACGTGAGATGATCGCCACCCGATCAACCAAAAAAATATAAGAAGAAAATTTGGGACAATGGAATGTGAATGCGGGCTATTTTTTTTTTAAAATATTTAGTTCCATTTATCCATGTTTTACTACCGAAAATACGAAAATTAAAATTAAAAAAATAATTTTAAAATTCGATGATGGATGATGTCGATGGTGACGAATAGCGATGCCATTAGCGTCGACACTAACGTAGTTGGATAGCTGCCTCCGATGACAATAACGTTCGCTTTTTTTGGGATGTCATCCGCCTCCATGAGGAACGACTCGTCGACATCATTGTCGGTCATCTCGCATTGCTTTGTATTTACATCAATGCTGATATAGTTATCGAGCGATAACCGTATTGGTATCGATGCAAATGGTGATGGCTATTGCGACGTCTACGATGAAAATGGTGGCCGCCTCACAGTTAACTCAACGAGAGGTGAGTGATAGGAGCTCCGGTGACCCTAGCTTCGGGTTGAGGTTACGATTCACCCAATGGGTCAATGGTGAGGCAACTACCATCTTCACCATAGACATCGCAACGGCTATCACCATTTGCATTGATGCTGATGCAATTATCACTCGACAACTACGCCAGCATTGATGTAGTAGAGCGACACGAGACAGGTGACAATGAGGTCGGTGGTACACTTATCATGAGGGCGGGTTGCATCGTGATAAGACTGGACCTTTTCATCGTCTGAGGCAGCCAAACAACTACGTCGACTTTGATGCTAGTGACATTGCTATCGGCCATGAAATATTAAAATTCTTTTTATTCTTTATTTTTATATTTTCATCGGTAAAAATAGGTAATATGTAATTAGCGTTACAAATGATGAGGAGATGTCGTGTGCTTATCACCTATTTAATTGTCGAAGCAATGCAAAATAAAATAAAAAATAAAAAAATAAGTAATTTGCATGTTAATGTTGGATAAAGTAAAGGGTTAAGGTCCATCTTAATCTATATGGTTTTGGTCATAGATCTCTTAAACCCTTATAGTTTACTCGTGTCTAAAATAACTCATATATTTAAAAAAAATATAGCATATAAGTCGCTCCCATTAAGTTTGAGTTAATATATATTAGAATCTACTTACATGACATATTGAATTATAATAAATTATTAATATAATGACATGTGTAATTTAGGATTAAGATCTATTTTAGCCTATGTGATTTTAGCTATAAACCTCTTAAGGCCTTATGATTTATTCGCGTCTAAAATCATCTATATATTTTTTAAAATATAATATATAAGCCCCTCATCTAAAGTTTGAGTTAATAAATGATGAGTTTAAGAGCTTACAAATGTCACTTGCTAGCTCTACGATGCATGCCACTACGTCACTCATCATGATGCTGCTCGCTATTGTAAACAACACTCAATCTAATCACAATGAGTACTACCATACATTGTAAGTCACCTCTCTTACAAAAGCACAACATCACAAAGACCGAAAGCCGACGGAAGGAATAGTTGAGCTGGTCCATATAGCCCTCTCACACCCATTTACTGTCCTCGATCGGCTTGTTGAGGAAGAAAAAGTGGCGGAAGCTATAGCGGCAAATGAAGACAAAAAGAAGATAAGAGAGGTTGGAGATTAAAGTGAGGGAGAGTTGGACCACATTGTAAGCATAGCGAGTGGGAGTGCAGGAGAGATTGAAATGAGAGACGATGGTGACAAAGACGCCCATGAAAAGGAAGAGGGACCAGGAGATCACTATGTGCTTAGCATCAGATTAGTCGACGCACATCCACTTGAGGCAGGAACAAAAGCTCCTGAGTTCGTCGTTAACACCGGAGAGGCTACGTACGTACAATGTCCTGTTAGACAACAACGACTTAGTGCTACTACTAATGGTCACTCTCATGACGATACCATCTTCCATCATTGATAAAGGTCTTTTTTTTTTAACTTAAATAATATATGTCATTATATTAATAATTTATTGTGAATAAGCATATAATATAAGTATATTTTAATGTCTATTAACTCCCACTTGAGGGGATGGACTTGTGCTATATTTTTAAAAAATATAAAAATTATTTTATAAATCATAAAGACTTAAGGTCCATAACTAAAATCAAATGCACTAGAACCTTAACTCTAAATCAAATGAAAGAAACTTATATACTATATTTTTAAAAATATAAAGATTATTTTAAACATTACTCAATCAAGATTTTAGAAATCCATGACCAGAATAGCTACTAAAATGGACCTTTAACCAAAGTAAAAAAAAAAGGGACGATGCCTTTCGAACGTGTGGGACCACGATTGTGCGAACGAGAGAACAGGTCGAACCGTGGGTAACATTGCGTGCTTTAGAGTGATGATGATGACAAAATGTGTTTCTTTGTCTTACGTGGCGCATTTTTATACGTGAAATTTATTGGATTCTGTTCGGCCCTGTTTTAATTCTTATGTAGCAAGGTCAGCGCCGAATGACACGTTGTCCGGCAGCACAGCTCAGCGCGAACAGCGAGCAGGCACCCGCCGCGACCCGTTTCCAGCCTGGCTTCGTTGGATTCGCTGTGCTCAGCGGGATCCACTTGAGTCCCAGGGCCCCAGGCGATGGAGCTCGCTTTCTGCGTCAAGATTCGCAATCAGACTAGTATTTAAAGATATATAAATAGAGAGAGAGATATATATATATATATATATATGTATTTTAATGGTCAATATTATGATCATATCAACAATGCATTATTGCACATCATATATAGTATTTAATATAATAAAAATGCTTGAATGACGTACTTAGAACAAAATCTCTCTCGCGGCAAAGCATTTATAGGTTGTTATTAGGTTGACCTACACGACTTTGACCATTGACTTGTTGTGATATCGACATTAGATTTGTTGTCAGATTCTTTGCAGCAATATCAACATTCTCTGGCACTTAAAAACACCGATGTTGCCGGGTTTCTCCCCCGTTTTGGTCTCCACTGTGGATCAAATCGATATCCACAACAAATTGTATTAACGTTAACCACATCAGTCAAAAACATGTTTCTATTAACAGTTTAAAACACCAAATAGTCGAAAAGTGTTTTTATTAACAATATAAAACCCTCGGATGCGGCGACAATAGCAGACAAGAAACCATGCGGGAGATCTGGTCACCGCCTCGCGTGCGTTTCGACCTTTTGTCCTGAAGCTAAAGAATGGCGTGTGGAAGATCGCGTCACCTTTGTTCTTTCCGTCTCCGTTGCTCCGCTTCACACAAAAGAAACGGACCAGTGATGAGCCCCTTCCGGCACGGCCGATGGCGACCTCCTCCTCTTCCCTCTCCCATGCCAAGCGCGGCCGCGCCGTCGCTGTGGCTGCCGCCTCGTCCGCTGCCGCCCTCCTCTCCTTCTTCCTCCTCGTCGTCGTCCTCGTCCCCCAGCATGCTCTCAACTCTCCAATCTCCCTCTCCTCGGATCTCTCCGTCCCCCCGTCCCCTCCGCTTCCGCCACCCCAAGCAGCGGCCTTGATGCGAGTAGCCGCGGAGAAACCAGTTTCCGAGGCTGAAGCTCCCGGCGGGCGAGATCTCTCTATGCCCCCGTCACCTTCACCTTCACCTTGGCCGCCCTCCGAGACACCCGTAGCCGCGGTCTTGGCGCAAGAGCCGGCGGCAGCGCCTCCTCCCGAGAGCCGGGAGCGGAGGTGCGACCTTTACCAGGGAAGGTGGGAGAGAGATGAGGAGGGGCAATACCCACTCTACCACCCCGGTTCTTGTCCGTACGTGGACGAGGCTTTCAGCTGCCAGGAGAACGGAAGGCGGGATCTCGGGTACCTGAGATGGAGGTGGAAGCCTCACGGTTGTGATCTCCCAAGGTTGCTTCCTCTTCATCTTCTTGCTTCTTTATCTGATACTAAACATTTACTCAAATTTGTAGCTGAACTTCTTAAGCAGAATGTGGGATAGTATTAAGACGCCAAATACATGGTAGAAAATGAAGAAAATATTCAAAAGAGAGATTTTTACGATCTATCTTTCAAGGCCACATTTTTCAAAATTTCATCTTTGCTCTTTTTTCCCCTGCTTTCTTTCTTGTTGTTCTGGTCATTGGAAATAGTATTAAGCTATTGAGAACGCTCCCTTTTTAAATGAAACTAACATGGCTAATTAATATGTGAATCTTCAACTAAGTTTCTTAGATTGGGGTTCTTCCAAATTGGTGACAGTCCTCTCCTTTAGGTCTCTACATTTCAGCTACACATAGTCACACACATCAATGCAGGGGCCCTGGTCCTATGGACAGCTGGTCATTGAAATGGATTGATCTCAAAGGGAGATGATCCTGGTCCTTTTCTGTGAGGTTCTTTACTCGAAGAATCTCGATATAGAAGGTCGAAGCGAATGGGAGAAAGAAATTGTCAGCCATTATTTGGTTGAACCTTAAATCTAATGGTCCTCTTCTAGTTTCAAGTTGTTTTCTTATTTCTGCAAAATTTTCTAGTTACAATGGAACTTAACCAACCTAATAGGCATATATGGAGGTTGGCAACTATTTTTCTTGTGTTACTCTTGATAGAATAACAAAAGAAGAAAAATGTATAGTTCCAACTATCAGATTCAGGAATGTGGATATGCTCCTGCCATACAGCTCTATCAAGGGTAATAACTTGCATCAACTGAGGCCTGAGATATTCTTTCCGAGTCTTCTGACCATTATTTCCAATTGTTTAAATGTGCCTATCATGCACATGACATACCTGTCATGTGAAGTAAATGGAACATTTTGAAAACAGCAGAAGATTGAACTCAAGTTCAGATAAAATAAAGAATATTTACATGATTTCCCCAATAAACTCACTTTCAAAAGTGAAGGTGTTCAGGGAGAGCTTCTTTAATGTGGACAATGGCATGAAAATGGTGCTACAAACAACAAAAACAGTGTCTTCTAACCCTAGCTGCCAAATAAGTTTAACAGTGTTTTCTGAAGTCAAGAGAATCCAATTTTTTAATTTATTGTTTCTCAAACTTCTATAGACAAACCAAACTAGAATTTCAGTTAGCCACTCTAATGATGTAATTTAGGTCTAGGTGAAGAAAGGAATGACTTCATCTGTTATAAAAATTTGTCCGAATTTTTCATCTTCTTTTTTCTTTTTTCGATCTTATGGCTTTTATGATTTTAGTGCTTTGTAAAGTGTAAACTATTGCGATAACATCATAGAGTTAACCTTGTAGTCTTATTTTCCTCTTCAACCTCCAGTAGAAAGATTTTTATAATTTTGGTTGTTTTCATCACAATTTCTTCTTTTCCTGTTGCCTTTTACTTTATTCATAGGTTTAATGGAACAGACTTTTTGGAGAGAATTCGAGGCAAAAGGTTGATATTTATCGGAGATTCCATGAACCGCAACCAGTTTGAATCAATGTTGTGTCTCTTACGAGAAGCCCTGCCTGATAAGAGCAAAATGTATGAGACACGAGGTTACAAAATAACCAAAGGACGTGGCTACTTCATCTTCAAATTTGTGGTAAGAAAGCTTTATTGCTTCCATTGATATGCTGTAATATCGTGGTCCATCTAGTCTGACCCCATTGCACTTGATTTGTTTCTGGTGCCTAGAAAATCTTATATAAAATTGTGTACTACACTTTTATATTTTTATTTCTATGGCAATATTCTTGTATACATATATTTGAATGATCAATTTTACTGGCTTTTCATCCTTAATACTTCAAATTAATCGAATAGTCACTGAAAATTATATCTTGTATGCAAATTTTGGCAGGACTATAACTGTACAGTGGAGTTTGTTCGATCCCATTTTCTTGTTAGAGAAGGAACACGAGTCAATGGACAGGGCAATTCAAACCAAGTTCTTATGATCGATCGCATCGACAAGTCAGCTAACCGTTGGAGAAGAGCTGACATACTTGTCTTTAACACCGGTCATTGGTGGACACATGGGAAAACAGCAAGAGGGTAAATCTGTGTCTCTGATTCTAGACGTCTCTTTTTGATTGTGCAAGTAGCTTTAGTTGAAATAGCCAGTTTTTCTGCTGTTTTCAAGTGTGTACATATGACAATTTAATGATCTTGATTCACCAGGAAGAACTACTATCAAGAAGGTGATGTTGTCTATCCAAAACTTGATGCAATTGAAGCTTATAGGAAAGCCATGAATACTTGGGGAACATGGATTGACAACAATGTGGACCCTGCAAAAAGCTTGATATTTTACCGTGGTTACTCTGCTGCTCATTTTAGGTGCTTAAATTTTGTCTTATTTCGTAGAAAGAAATAGCAATTATTATCTTATATCTTGATGTTTTTGCTCTACATGTCAGCTTCGAGTATAAAACCCCACTGACTTGTCTTTGTTCAGAGGTGGAGACTGGGACTCTGGTGGCACCTGCAATGGGGAGACAGATCCTATCAAAACTGGAGCATTTTTAGAAAGTTATCCATCGAAGATGAAAATAGTAGATGAGGTTATTAATAGATTGCATGTTCCAGTTGTTCTCTTGAATGTGACAAAGCTGACCAACTACCGTAAGGATGGCCACCCATCTATTTATGGCAAGAAGCTGGCTGAAGGGGAGAAGGTGTCCAAGAGGCGGCAGGATTGCAGCCATTGGTGTGTTCCTGGGATTCCTGATTCATGGAATGAGTTGATCTACGCCTCGCTTGTCCTCAAACAACATCATCCACAGTCATTGAGGTAGAAGATGGTTTGTGAGCTGAGACATGACTGTATTTACCCGGCATGATTAGTCTTGGGAGTTTAAATGCCCACATTGAGGCAAGAAAATGGATCTACATGTTCTCTTGCTGATCGAAATGGAACTTTAAGGGGACCAATTGTTATTGAGAGTTCTTTTTGCTGCAATGCTGATTGTGAGGAGCCTCTCTTTTTTTTTGAAGCTAAAGTGAAGAATGTAATGTTATTTTGCTGCTTTATAGTGTAGATCTATCTTGTGCAGGAAATCTACTTGTTAGGTGTTATGTAATTGTAGTATTATTTGGAGTATATATACACATTGTCGATGGACTTTGTCGAGTTAATTTTGAAGAGTATAGGAAACAAATTTATGAAGGTATCTAAGTATGGAGAGAAATAATTGGCTGTACTGGTAGTTTATATGTAAGTATTGTTATTTGAATTTGCAGAATATTTTGATACAATGGCAAATAGATGTAGAAAAACCAAAAGAACAAATGTTTCATTCTGCTGGGAATATGTGTGAATTATTACAAGGGTAAATGTTAAAACTCTCCTGTCTTGCAGCAATATCTGTTGGTGTTTGTATTAGCTATTCACTGTGATCCCAAGGCAGAGTCTATTGTTTCTTAGCCATTTATTAAGGCCCATACATCTTTGTCATGTTGCAGAAAGGTAAAAGATAGTGGTGAATTCCTTTGCTGTATCTGAAATTAGCCATAACAGAATATTTTGATTCTCAAGATTTCTTTGAGATTATGGAAGCTTAACTTTGACACATGCCAAACAAAAGATACCTAAAACAATTCATCTGTCAGGAACTTTGAGTTCAAGTTGCATGTTTTTTGCTGTATCTGTTTTAGAAGTGTGAGGACAGATCTTAAGAGACTTCCACTGAATCAGCTCATTGCTTCACTTGGAAAACGTTTTGGAGTTTGTCATTCTATGCACTGACATAAAAATTGGCTCATTTGGGATCAAAACCAGCCTTCATCAAACCAAAAGACAAGACAAGGTATGAGTAATTTATAAGTAAACCAGCATCTTTATCAGCAGGCCACTGGCAACTATTTTTGGCTTATACTGCAAGCTTTAGCAATCATCAATCTGCTGCTTAAAGATACCAAATTGTATGCATTGCATTGAATTGTAATGCCATCTGAAAACCTTGAACTAAAGCTGACTCTCACTCCTGTGTTCCTTGAATCAGATTGAAAGCTCATGGTGATGGAAACTGTATGAAGTAGCAGCACAATTGTCTTCTATGTTTCTTCTGTTCTCTTGCTCCAAAGGGAAGTCTTTCTTCATGCCAGTGTAGAAATCAGCATCTGATAGGAGTGGTTCATGAAAGCTAGGTTTGATGGAGATAGTTAAGCTGAATGCTTGTATCAGTAAGCTGTACACATAATTAAAACCGAAATCGACATCGATATGGTCAAGTGTTGGAACACTGGTTGAACCAATGGGTCAAATTATGGAGTAAGTCACAATATAAACTCACTGAAATCAGAAACAGTGATCTCTTTGGAGAAGAAACTTGGCTGTTACTCATTAAAATTCATAAAGAAAAGCAAGGCCTAATTTAATGCAATTTGGATGTGGGCAATGCATCTAACTGGCAATTGCACAGCTCCACACCTACCACTGCAGCAACACCTCAGGTTTCTTGTCCCCTTCTTTCTCCTGGGATTCACGTGAGTGATGAAGAAATGGTGAAACTACAGAATCCTATGAGCTTGTTCCCCTCAAAGATTGCCAAGAGATTGCACACCTCCTTGACTATGAAGATAGGCTGAAACTTTGGCCAAGATTGATACTCTTTTCTATCCATCTACTTGTTGGCAACAACTCTGTGCTATTTCCTCCTGTTTTTTCTCTCTGCATTGTGTTCTTCATGAATGATGGAAAGCTGCTGAGGAGGTTTCGAATTGATGAGTGATCATAGGTTCATTTACTTTTCTCTGTACCATCACACCATTTGAATTTCTAACTTCAATCCAGACCTAAGTTTTGATTTGTCACATCTTTTGAGGTTAGATTGAGGTCCTCTGTTTCTTGTTTAATATGTCACAAACTTTAAGATCATGAAAGTGGATATCTCTGAGCTTAAACACATCAAAATGGAGGATGCTAAAAGGAATCCTGAGGTAGTAGTTTGCAAGGGTGAGCATGTCAAACTGAAGAATCTGTAGGAGCATGTTCAACTCCATCTTTTCTTTGACCTCAAGTGACTCAACCAAGATTTGAGAGATAGAGAGAGAGAGAGAGAGAGAGAGAGAGAGAGAGAGAGAGAGAGAGAGAGAGAGAGAGAGATGTGGTGGCAGAAAAGGTGTGTGGGCCAGAAAAGCTGGGGAGGACAGAAAGATAGCTTTGCTTGTGATCTAAGATGGAGGAATGGGTGGGAACAGCAGAGACTGGTGGGACACAGGCAGAAATCATACATGGAGTATGGATGGCACTGATGGACTCCATGCAGTCACCAAACCTTCCCATATAATCCACTGTCTGCTGTAGTTATTCCTTCAAATGGAAGCTTTTGCCACCATAGCAGGAACAATCATATATGCCAACACTGTCTGCAACATTGAATGCCTCAGATCTGCAACCATTGATGATGAGAGCAGCTGCAAGTTCTATGACACTTAATATTAGATGATCCCATGTATTTGCTGAGACCAATTACATATAAATCAAAATTATCTTAGTTTTTTGTGCCATTAGAGGAGAAGCAAGTCAATCTTGTCAGGTTCTTTTCCATACTTGTATTCTAACATTGTCATTGGTGACATTAAATCCTTTGTCTTAATGATATTTATATATGGGTGCTTTATTTAACTTCATGGAATGTTATTTTATATAAAGAGGAAAAAGTAATATCTAATGCTTGTTTGCTTCTTTTGTAGTGTATAGATCCCTTCTCCAATAATTATTGTACCAATTAGGTCAAGATTTCATTGGAATACTTTGCAAGTTAGCATGGAAGCAAGATCAAGCAATGCAACATTTCAAGAGGTACAATCAAGGCTATTTATCATCATTTAAAAACCATAACCTAACAATAACAATTCATATCCAGATCTTATTCTGAAAATTTGGTAGCTGACATGAATGACACTAACCCTACCACACATGAATGCAAGCAATGACTGACATAATTCATGATAAGATACTGTAATTTAAGGCGATTATTCTGTGAGAGAGAACAAAGAAGGTAGTAATTATTCTTGCTGATGAACAAATCAATTTTCTTTGTTCATATGCTTTTGCCTTTTTCTTATCATCAGTTGCTATTTTTGATCTGATAACTCTTGATAGAGTTAGCATGGAAGAAGAAAAAGAAAACCATTTTCCTGTTGGTTGCTGAATTATACTTCTTGAGTTGATATGAAGAAGCCAACATGATGCAGATTTATTGTAGAAGAGAGAAGAGAGAGAGAGAGAGAGAGAGAGAGAGAGAGAACTCCATTTGGCATCCAATCCGCAGTTGTATTGCTTTCATACACTAGAAGATGAACAGAAGAACCAAAACAGTATCACCTCTTCTTCTGGCTTTGATGGTCGTGTGGACAAGAAAGAGAAGTAGATGCATGCCGTCAAGAGCCGACGCGAATCTTCTTGATCACCGGGCACGGCAGCAGGATAAAGATCGAGGCGAGGTCGCTCGGCACAGGGTAGAATCCATCCGGCGGCGGCTGTAGCTTCCTCTTGACAGGACGCGGCTTCCTCGGCGCCGACGGGCATACCAACGGTCGCTTCACTGCATGCTGCTCCGACTTCGGTGTCACGCACTCTCCTTCCTCGCTGCTCGTCGACTTCGACGGGTCTTCTTGCGTTGTCTTGGCATCGATCCCGCCAGTCCGGACCGGTGGGAGGGATCGGGATTCCCGATCGATGAGCTCGAAGCCCATTGCTTGATCCCTATGATATCTATATCTATATCTGTATATATATATATAGAGAGAGAGAGAGAGAGAGCAGTGTTATAGTTATGGAGAATGAAAGAGAATAAAGATAGGGAGGTGGTGGGTGAATAAAGAAGATGACCACCACAGTATCAGCTTCAGATGGAGAAGAAGAGCGCAAGAATGGAGTCACATGAGATGGTGGTGATGATTGGCATTGGCAAGAGGAGATGGGAAAAGAGGAGAACACAATTATGTGGCCAGGTAGTCCAAGAAGAGAGAGAGAGAGAGAGAGAAGAAGGGATGAAATGGAGAAGGAAACTAAGAAGACAAATGAATAGTAAGAGTCAAGGTGGCAGCCTTAACTCTACCTTTGGCTGCTTTATGTGGAATGAGTCTTAGCCTCCACCAACTGTTCATGGATCAAATCATTCATATTAACCAGCATCTCTCATTCTATTAATTTTCATGGAAAAAGTATGAAAACAATGCTGATTGATAGCACTCATACATTTGCATTTCCCACCATTACTTGCCAATCCATGACATTAAAAGCTCACCACCCAAATCCAAAAGGAAAAATTCTTCCAGAAGGCATCCCACTTTAATGTTCTTTAAGGCCACAGGAAATGCCATTCCTACATTCATCGCACAGCATCAAGCTCTGCTATGATCCAAAACCATATCCCTGTCATGTTGATGCCATGAGGAAAAGCTGCCCAGCTCACATGGCTTTTGCTGGGCTTGGAGGTGTTAACCTTCCTTTAAAGCTTAATCTAATTAGACCTGCTTTCCTTCAGAGACACAAGGCTGGGAAATCATTATACTGGTAGCAGGACAAGATTACAATAGCATTTGACAGTCATGTGGATCACCAAGTTGGCTTCATGCCTTCTCTATGCAGGATAGAATCCACAAGGATTTAGTTGCAGACATTTCACTTTATCCAATTCAAGATCAAGCAGAACTAGTATTTGGTGATTCACCTGCTAAAGACTGCAGCCAGAGGACTCTCCAATGCATGCAGCAGTGTGGATGTCTCACACATACAGATGCCAAACAGGGCATTTCCAGGTGCTCAATTTCAATGATATAAATCAATGAAGAATTTTTAGTAAGGATTTTGGTGAATTTGAGAATGATGTTGAGGGGGAATAGAACATGAAGTACATGGAGAGATATCTGATATTGGGAGCATAAATAGAAGATTAGACATCATCCTCTTGTGTGTTCTAGAGAAGGAATTATGAGAGGACAATAAAGGAGGAAAGATAAGAACATGTTCTGCAATCAAATGATCATTCCCTTGATAGATAATGCTTCATGGAAGCTGATCCTGATTTCAAAAAGAGAAAGGAGACTCTGATTACAATGCACAATTAACTTAACTGTCATTAAAAGTGGAGGAATCAAGACAGGAGTATGTTGCAAGGAAGGAGGGTTATGAAGGTTGAGGGTGTAGTGATGCAACAAAGGTAATACACAGTCAAATGTATTGATCAAAAGAAGGACCAATTAAAAGTAAGATTCATAAAATAAAGTAGAATACTACACAGAATGCTTTTTCACAGGAATAATTAGCCAAAGAATCAGATTAATGGACAAGAAAAAAAAACAGGATTTTGTGTTATCATTCTATGCTGAAGTACTCAGCACATGACAACATAAATATGCTTAGAGTTCTGTTCATCTCTCATAGATTAAAAGATATGAAGAGAGAGAGAGAGAGAGGAACATGAAGAAATCCATCTCCTCTCTATTTCCCCTAATAATAGTTCAGAACTCAAATCATGGTGCAGTAAGGTGAACTCCTCCACATGCTCAGTGTCATCAATCACATGCAACAAAGAAAAGGTGGAAAAGAAAGAAAGAAACAAACAACTTATTCCAGCCATTAAATCTCACCTCATGACATTTATTCCTACCTTTAGGCATTATGCCAAAAAAGATGGAATCTTCATGGAAAAAAGAAACTGGAGAATTTGATTGATGAGCCACAGAGCATGTGTGGCTTCAAAATTTACTGAGCCCAAACAAATAAAAGAAAGTATTAAGATGTCTTGTCAACCTATCAAACACAAACAAAGTAGGAGAATTTTAATCATTTCTCCATAAAATAATATAATTGTATGTTGCCTCTCCAATCAGAATTGACATCTAACCCATCTTGTCCAATATATGCTTATTAATCAATGCTCATGCTTTAATGTAATAGATGGATCGATGGACTCCTTGCTACTCCATCTCTTACCAGTTCTTGTCCTTCTGCTTAGGTTCACTCTTTGTCTCTCTCTCAACCTCTCTATATCACCACCATGAAACAAAGTTCACTAGAAAATTGGAAAGCTTGCAACAATTCCACTTCTTTCTTCTTCTACACAGGAAGACTGGATCTACTCGGGTGTCAGATTGTGAAGGTATTGGTTCAGTTAAGTATGTCGACCTGCATGGAAACACATAAGCAGTGCATGTCACAAGATCCCAACTCATTGGTTTCCTTGCACAGTAGTGTACATGTGGATGTCTAGATTCCTGGGCCCCACTAATGCAGCCAACCAGGGATTAGTTCCTACCCCCACTAGAGAGCACAGAGGACCTCCAAGTAGATGACAGGTTGCAATGTGTCCGGAAAGTGAGAGAGAGAGAGAGAGAGAGAGAGAGAGAGAGAGAGAGAGGAAAAGATATCAGAAGATAAAAAAGAAAACAGGCATATGATCCACAATCATGGCTTGCAAACCATAACCCAAGGATGCAGATTAATGATGAGATGCAACACTCAGGATTGCGTGCATGGAAGTGGGAGAAAGGAGTTGGTGCACAAATCCCCATCTGCAGGAAAAAGGAGCAGATCTGAGCAGCTTTGTGAAGTTGTGTAGGTTGGAGTTATCATGGATGTGATGTTTTCAGAAGCCTCATGCGAGTCGCACAACAACAACAAGAACAACAACCCTAGTTGTCCATATTGGATGGCATGCATACTGTGGTTGATGGCGGTACAAGGAGAAACCCTCTCTACCTAATCACACATGAACCCTAGTCATGCAACCATGGAGCACCAATTCCTGCTCCCACCTGGAAAAGCTCAAAGCTCTCATGTGATCCGACATGCTGCACCAACTTTGGTTGTACGAAAAGGGAGGGGGAAGGGAAAGAAACTATAAGATATGAATGCAGGCAAATGCTCTACTCATGGCTTCCCAACATGCTCAAGAATAATTTGGATGATGCTGGTCGAAGCCAATGAAGATGCATGTATGGATTCGATGAACACACACATCCTGTGAACTTTACACAGTTACCGGATATTAATTTCCTAGTGGTCATATTTTGAGAGAATGTGGGGGGAAAATAAAGATTTTGAAAGGTTTGAGTGATGGAAATGTATTATATGTTGTTGTAGGTTATCTTTTTCTTTGTGTTAATGTAGTATGTTTCGTTAAGCATGAAATGTAGAGAGAGAGAGAGAGAGAGAGAGAGAGAGAGAGAGAGAGCTGAGGTTTGTATACCCAGCAAGATCGAGGTTAAGGAAGGAGACACGGATTAATGGGCCAAACCATGTTGGATCTTGGCCCATGAGACAACTCTATGCGGGGCCCACTAAAGAGTCTTCCTCCTCCTGGTCGATCGGGTGGGACCCTCACGACAACAAGGTCAATGCGTGTGGCCCCCGCAGGTGAGAAGTCTTGGGTTAGAGACCCGTCGTCGCGTTCGCACGCACGTCAAAGTCTGCACACCGTGCTTCTTCACGCTCCCACGTCCCTCGTTCGTGTCGCAAGTCGTGAGATCTGTTACCCCGGAGCTCCATTTAACTCCGAACCAACCCGGGTAGCACGAATCTCCGCGACCTTTGACGGTCATCGATGTCAATGCACCGGCGCCCGCGGTTGCCCCTCTGACTCTGCTGTGACCTTCGTATGCTTCCTAAGAAAGCAAACGACTCGGCAGGACGTCGTCATCCCACGGTGGGGCCCTTCGATACAGCCGCCATCGGGTCAACCTGTCTGCCTTTTATCGACCGTGCGATGCGTCCGCAGCGGCTGCAACGACAAGGATCAACTGATGGAACTCTCCCGGTCAAATCAAAGCTCAGTTTAGTGGCTGCGAAGTCAGAACTCATTGCTTGGCTAACAAGAAAATTCTACCAGTAAGAGTTCAACGATTGAACTTTAGCTGCCGAAGTCCACGATGAAATAATTTGTCAAAAGGAAAAATAGAAATCATCGTCGATATAAATATTCAAAATGGTTGACTTTGATACCAGAAGATTCGTGCATCCACCTGCGCATTGTTTGCTAGCATCTTGACTCTAAAAAGTCAACCACAAGTGTCCGACGCGGACAGACGGTTCTGCGTGCTCCTCATTCATCCCGTTTACCGATCACCCTTTCCCACTCTCTCCGCACTATAAACTCACTTCGCTTACCTTCTTCTTTCGTGGTCGCTTGCAGGTCGGTGCACGACACTTTCGGGATCGTTACTGGCCGTCGATTCGATGGGACACCTCAAGATGGACGGCAAGATGGAGGTCCGGGAGGCGGCCGCCGCAGGGCTCCGCAGCTTGGAGCGTGTCGTCTTCCATCTCTCCCACCAGCAGTCGCCGTGGGATTGCCGTGAGATCACAGACCAGACGATTGCCAAGTTCAAGAAAGTCATCTCCGCCCTGAACCGGACCGGCCATGCCCGGTTCCGCCGCGGCCCGGCTCAGCCCGCCTTCTCCGCCGAAGCAGAGGAAGCACCAGCAGTGCACTACCACGCGCTCGCTCGTCCGCCGCTGCCGCCGGCTGCGGTCGCGACCTTGAACCTAGATCCTACAAAGCTGGAGGAGCACTTGAACGTCTCGGCGGCGGTGTCGTCGGCCCATAAGCCGCCTCTGGCGCCGTCCCACAAGAGGAAGGTCCCCGACCACGCCCACCCCCCGGAGGCCGCAAAACAAGCCGCCAGGTGCTGCCACTGCTCAAAGAAAAGGTACCCCTCCTCCGTCGCGCCGAAACTTAATTTCGCGCATCCACGCATCTCCTCGCTGACACGCTCCGCGACGTCCTCTGCGTGCGACAGGAAGGACCGGGAAAAAAGGACGGTGCGCGTGCCGGCCGTCGGCTCGAGGAACGCGGACTTTCCGGTGGACGAGTACTCGTGGCGTAAGTACGGACAAAAGTTCATCAAGGGATCCCCTTACCCGAGGTAAGCCCGCTCTCCGCCGTCCTATCGCCGGTCATGAGCCTGCGTAGGCCGATCTGATCCCTCCGATTGCCTTGCAGGGGGTACTACAAGTGCAGCAGCGTGAAGGGGTGCCCGGCGAGGAAGCACGTCGAGCGGGCGGCCGATGACCCCTCGATGCTAATCGTAACGTACGAAGGGGTGCACCGGCATTCCCCGAGCAGGCCCGCCTGTCGGTGACCTGTGGTGCTGGATCTTATCTTCGCTTTTTTATAGTTTGACCTGTAAAATGTCCACCAGGAAATGTAGACTTCAGTTCAGACATATGGAACGGCAATTTTCCCCTTTCTTGCAGTTTTGACTTGTCATCTCAAAGTCAACTGTGGTTGCTTTATATTTGTTTTTGATTTCATAATTTGGTGTGAATTACACACTCAAATGGTTAGCCAAAGGAAAGAAGGGGTTATGATGTAATTTCACCATTACATGAGATTACAAATAGGAAAAAACTTTTGATTAGATTATTTATTGTAAAATATTTGAGGGTCAAATGTATGTGAGTGGTGGTCAATGCAAAAGATTTTGTTTATTTGACATTCTAGAGAACCTATAACATTATTTTAAATATGAATGATTTGATCAAAGTTTGATCAATTCATTCCACTAAAAAGATCCTACCATGTTAATTTTACCCTCCTAAATAATATATTCCTTTGAAAGTTGCCTTTTTATTCATTTTTTTATTGAATTTTATTTTCAACTACCTACATCAGAGAGAAGATAGAAGTCAGACAATCTATGGGATAGATATTGGCTTATTGGCTTTGACATTACATGGTCAACAGGAAAACTGTATACATATTATAAACACACATCAAGCTTTCTTGTGATGCATTCAGAAGAAAGCTGCATTTGAATCTCTAGAAGAGCTTAAGAACACTGATACATATTGAGACAAGTGTGTGGAGAATGTTTGAGGAAGAGCTCATACAGGAAGACTTTGTGCACATATAACAAATCATGATTTTGATTGAGTACCATAGATTTCTATTTTTATGCCTCTCTACACTAAAACTCTAAATGATAGAGAGGACAACAATGCACTCTAAAAAGTTTAGTCAACTTATACTTTGAATGTTAAATTCCGACAACTATAAATGACATTGAGAACAAAAAAAAAAGTCAATTGGTATGATTTATCAAACTTTGCTGACATGACAAATAAACTGTAACTGGATAATAATAATAATAAAGATGATTATATATATGAACTAGTTCAGCAACTTTATAACATGACAAGCAATTAATGTAATAACTTGGTTGGACTCTGCAAGTTTGCCAGCCCACTCTAAAAGCTCTTGAGAGTACTCTCACTGGCTAAATGCCATAAAGCAGTTCATCGAAGCTTCCCTGGCAAAGTATCTGCAACACTCACAATGGAGTATGATTCAGTCTGAGCATCCATGACTAACCTATGCTTTTAGTCGAAAAGATCCTACCATTGATCATGTAATGAAATGGCACATACACTTACAATGGGCAGAGTTCACAAGTGATGATGCATCACTTCATCCCTATTCCAGTAGACAGTCTCTCACGATGAATTGTGACCATTGACAGTGATACTATGGGTTTTGGCAATTCCAACTTCAGCAGTGTTGTTCTGAGAGAGGAGAATCGAGTCTTGAAACAGGAAGACAACCATAACTATAACCGAAGGGATATGAACTTTAGAGGCCAGGTGTAGGAAACACAACCAGAAACTGATCTTGCATAATAAAGAAACAGCTTACCTGCTTCATTTGGTTCTGACTAGGCATCTGGTGTAGCTGGAATGAAATTTTTCGGCGGTCCCTGAGAGCATTCCCTGCAGGTCAGAGTAACATGCATCAATATTTCATCCTGAAAGAAAACATAGTTTGAATGTAAAAGCCAAGAAACATTAGTGTGTCTTTGCGGAAAGCAGCTGCCAAAACAACATAAGCTGTGCACCAGACTGAATTATGTAGTTTCCCCTTAGCTGGTTAATCACCAGAGATGTGGTTTGCTTGGATGTGCATCTGGAAGAACATCTTAGCATGTTACGGTCATATACGAGTTTACATCAGATCCTAAATAATACCATTGAGTACTTTCATTATGTTAGGAAAGCAGAGGAGCAACAAGTGTAGCCAGTGGAAATAATGGGTCAGATTCTTGATTGAAAAGATGAATGTCAGTAGATCTCATCTAATCCTCTCCTAATCCATCCACCAGCACCTCCTTTGTTGGCTCATTCATGACTACTTCCCTATCAAAATTATGCACATTCATTTCCTCTACGATATGCACATATATGCCCTCCATGATGCTTAATGTGCTACGCAGCACTTTAACCACCTAGATGACATCCAGACATTTTAGAACCTTTATTACAACTGAAACAATTATGCTCCATCAGTAGAAAATTCTCCACTAGAGGTATGTTAAGGTCCACTTGGCTATGTGAAAACATGATATCTTCCCCTAGATCCACCAATGGAGGTAAAGGCATCAAATATTTTGATGCAAAAGATCCTTTTTGGACGTGGTTGGCTTAAATGCCAGATATTTCAAAATCTCTTCTGAACCTCAATTTTGGGTAGCATCCAAAATGGTATCACCAGAAGCAGAATCTTCAGGTTTTGACTTTCATGACATAAGTTGACCCTTGTTGCACTGAATTCTGAATAAAAAATAGGAAAAAAAACCTCAACCAATAAAACAAAGGCTGAACATTAATAAAATTGTCAGGAAGGGAAAAAAAAAGAGTTACTTTTCAAATTGATCAGATACCAATGACGAAATTTTGGAGGAGAAACAAAGAACATGTCCTGGAAATATACTAACAGGTAAGCATGGAAATACTAAGTGCATGATGTCAAGATGAGTGGGACAAACTACACTCATTCAACTAGTTTATCTCGAGATGATCAAGGCTGCTGCGGTGCATGCATAATGCAAGGGAAAATGAATACCAAGGAAAATTCTTATGTAAAAAATCAAAAGTATGCAAGTAAAGAATGTATAATGTAAGAACCAGAGAATATAGACACTGACGAAGATGCAAAGGAAAATTTCCAGGGAATCAAGCCAGCTCGACAAATTACTCGGAATACTACACAATCTTTTGGGCAATCGATTCATCTTATTCAAAGGATAATCATTGCATTACTTGGTCTGTGTTTATAACATGGCTCACGTTTTATGTGATGTGTTCTCTTGAAACTGCAGAACAGACGCATTCCCGATAACATATAAAGCTAATTGGTGCCTCAGGACGACCTCTTTACGAACACTCTAACGTATTTTCTTGTCGAAATTTCATTCTTTCTCTCGTCTCTCTGAACCTCATCAAGGAAGCAACTCAGTGAGAAACATTCAAGCTACCAGAAAGATCCAAAAGCAAACTGACAATTAGAAGCTCTCAAGCATGAAATATGACGAAGATGAATCAATAACTTTCTAATGCATAAACAAGATACCATGTTCTGCATAGAAGATGATGGAAAAGGACTCAATTCAGCGTTCATCTCCCGGCCCTCGAGCAACAAGAGCACGACCTGAACCTGAAAATGTGATGCAGCAAACAAAAATCATCAAGCACAACAGCCAATGTCCAAAGGTCTGATCTTTAGAACTGAATGAACTTTGGACGTACCTATTTACTAGAATTGTCACCTTTTCAGGTGACACAATCAAAGATGCAGACGTCTCCCTGGAACAACAGTGTTCAGCTGATGACTACCTGCCTGGGGCAGGACGGCACTTGTGTTTCCATCCCATGGCCACGGCTAGTGGTACTGCTGCAAGACCTGCGCATCAGCAGCAGCAATCAACTCGCTGCTACCTCCATCGTCACCACGGGCGTAATCCATCTGGGCCGGAAGCGGCACGGCTAGGGCGACCGGGTGCACGACCCGCAGATCGAAGACGTCATAGCCAGAGAACCGACCCGATGCCGCCAGGTTCGCCTCGATGGAAGGGTTTGGGTTTCGATGGAAGACAAGAATCTACCGGCAAATCCGAAGAACAATAGGAGAAACCGATTTTTATTGGCAATCCTTTGTTCTATTTACAACAGAATTATTAATATTATTAAGATATCCATCTATGACTTTAATATACTCAATTTATCAATTAATTCTAATAATCGTCGAAGATTTTCCAACATCGATGATAAAAAAAAGGAGAAAAATAAATTTTAATGATTTTTAGATCGATTTAACGTTTTTCGAATTTAAGACTTTGGTTATTGGTAATTGAGATATGTAAATTAATTATAATTACGGATAAAGAGGAATACAACATTGTGATTTGGGCCGAAAACCTAATGAGCCCAATTTCAAATTGAGAAAGCCCAAACTATGAATGCGTGAGCCGAAGAGCCCAACCACTATATATGGTATGTAGTGAGACGGTCAACAGCCTCCACCGCTTCGCTTTGCTTGTTTGCCCGTGTCCATGGATTCCCTATTAGCCAACTACGCCTCCGACGGCGACGATGACGAGGGAGTCGATGATGATAAGGCCTCCGACGGCGACGCCCCCGCTGCGAAGTCTCTCCAACTCCCTCTTCCCAAGCCTTCCTCCTCCCTCTTCTCTTCCTCTCTCCCTCCTCCCAAGTCATCCGCGGCTCTCCTTTCCTCTTCTCTCTTCTCTTCCCTACCGGCGCCCAAATCCATCTCTTCCACGCCATCTTCGGCTCCCCAAAACCCTTCCCGTCCCAAATCTGTCCATCTCGGCGTAGTAGATGGCGAGGAGGAGGAGGAGGAAGGTGGAATCCTTACCGCGGGTACGCCTTCTTCTACTCCCTTCCGAGCTCAAAGCTCGATGTTCTCCGCTCTTCCTCCGCCCAAGCCCTCCTCTTATTCCCGGCGCAAAGCCAGCCATGTCGACGCAGAAAACGGCGAGGAAGAAGAGAAAGGAGGGATTTTTACCGCCGATATGCCCTCATCTACTCCTGTTATGGCGCAGAAATCGATGTTTTCTGCTCTTCCTCCGCCCAAGGACTCGTCCTCAACTTCCTTGTTTTCCTCCATTCCTCCTCCCAAGTCCGAGCAGCCAAATCCCCAGAAGATCACGAATCCCCCTTCTTCTGATCGAAACCCTAAGAGGGTCGTCCAGTTTAAACTCCCTCTGAACCCTTCCATGCTGAAAAGTAGAGATTTCGATGACGACGATGACGATGAGGAGGACAAGGAGAGGAGAAGCGTCAAGGATTCCTTTTCCGTTGCCACAAAGGCCTCATCTTCCGTCTCTTCCATGCTTCCTGCCCCCAAGAATACTTTTGGCTTGGCGCGATCAGCTGCCTCGGCTTCATCGAGGAGATCGATTGTTGAAGCAGATGTTCCTGCAGGCGAGCAAGGAGGCACTTCTTCGGTGCAGGAAAGTTTTGGTTTTGGGGATTCCGGGAGTTATCACGGTGGTTTGGTTGGTGCACCACCGGAAACTGGGACTGATGGGTCAGGAGATTTGGGCTTTCCAGGTAGCACCAATGATGTTGGTTGGGATCCGTCAGGGGTGGAGGGAACAATTTATTCAGGCTTTGACGATAGCAGTGCTGCTGCTTCTTGGGATCCAAGTTATGGAGGTGCTGTGAATTACGAGAGTTACGAGGGAAATTGGTCTGAAGGGACTGCTGCAGTGGTTTCCGAAGCTCCAGACATGACAAAGATTGCTGGGAAGAGAGGCAGGAATGATATTCCTACAGAAATTGTGGAGGTAAAGCAAGATGAGTTGATGAAGAATAGACCCAGGCAGGACCAGAGTAAGCTGACTGGGATAGCTTTTGGACCATCTTATCAGGTTTAATCTTTGTCAAACCCCTTAGTCAGTTTAGTGATATAGTTTCAATGCCTGCTGAGATTAACATGTGCACTACTGTCAATTATAGGTTTTACTTACCTGCTATTATATTTTCCAACAGAAATGCATGAACCATATCTGCCTCTAAGGAAAATAGCAATCTTTTGAAAATGCTTTTCATGTTTTTATGAAGAATAACATGTAACGTGCAATGAGATAAAAATTTCAACATCCAATGACACTTGTATCCAGTAGCTTTTATGGGCATTTATCAATTAGCACAATGTAGCTAAGCTAGGTTTTGGTAAAAAATGCTTTAGTTTTCTTGGCAATCCTATTTTTGATACTTTTGGGTTGCATTGGAGGCAAAATTAGTATTCATTTTTGGTGGAGTACCAATATATGTCCTTGTACCTTTAATATGTCAATGTAATATATTTCTCATACAAGATGAAACTGAATGTCTCTCTATATAAAACTATGAGAACAATAAACAACTTGGTTTACCTGAATCTGCAGTTTTCTTTAATACACAGCACTTTGTGCTTTTCACTTAAAATGTCTAATATGTTACAAGCTCCTTTGTTTGCTATTTTCTGCCATAGGTTCTAAGATGATGTGCTACTAGGGTGCAGTGATTTAAAAAGCGCTAGGCGTCAAAAGGCTCCAAGGTCCAAAAACGTCTGAGGCGCTCGCCCGAGCGAAGCGAAGCGCTAAAATATAAAAATATAAAAGGCGCCAAGGTCCAAAAACGTCCTGCGACAACGGGAGCAGGAGCGGCGAGCAGCGGGAGGCGCGAGCAGTGACAGAGGCAGCGTTTGCGAGCAGCGACAGCGGCGAGCAGTGAGATCGGGATCGGGAGCGGCAGCAGCAGCGGCGAGGGTTAGGGTTCGGTTCTCACTTATATCGATTTTAGTTGGTTCGATTGAACCAACTAACCGTCAGAGACCGAACTAGATCTAAAATCCTGGTTCGGTCGCCTTGGTTAACTCAGGCGC